GGCTCGATACGATCGTCCTTGGCGCAGCCAGCCTCTCGCTACCTGCCTCCGTCATTTCCCTAAACAACGACCGCGAGCTGTCGGGGACGGGCGGGCTCCCTGCCGCTATGCGAAATACGATATGGATACAGATGCGATACGCATGACGAAATTGCCGATGCGTCTGATGCATGCCGAGTCTCGCCGAGGACTCGGAGCGAATGAATAATTTCGCGACAATTCAATTAGTTCAGTACGACGAAGCGTTCTGTGCATAACGTCGCGCATATCTCGGGTAAAGAATCTTTTTGTCAAACAAAATGGCATTCATATCTCGAAATGCCATACGCGGAAATGAAAAATTCTGCACAAGTTTGTCATGTGCTTTGTATAATAAAAATACGCGAATTAAACATTTCTTAAAAAACGGCACGCAAATTGAAAAAAAGAGATATTAATCCACATTGTGCGATATATTTTTTTGTTATGAATGTTATGAATGGAATATAAATGAATTAATTTAGATAGAGCAATTTTTGTGCAGCAAAATGAAAAATCACTCTCAATTTTCTGTTCACTCTGCTCACACAACAAAACGATATTCGAGTAATTCTTTCATCTTTAAATTCTTTGATCAATTTTGAAGCGATTTTACGTACACAAAAGCGTTAAAGCACCAACAATTTTTGAGTTTTAACCGAGATTGCAGGACTCATGCAAATTAAACTCTTTTTAAAATAAATAAATTTTTCTCTAAAGACTCTTTATTGTAACAGACTTTTATTGCTTCTGACAGATGACGAATATCGAATAAAAAATCCGATATTTTGTTATAAAAAAATTGTTTAATAGATAAAAAAGTAAATTAGTAAAATGTATCAAAAGATATATTTTATATTACAATATTATCATAACATAATTAATAATTAATAAAACTATATTGTTATTTTGTTATTTCAAACTTCAAATCTTGTAACCACGCTAAATTTTGTGTTTTTAATCGAAATAAAGCATGTACATGAATTACAAAAAAATCATAGAATCGATTGTTAGACAGGCAGCAGTTTACTGAATGACATCCTTCGCAGATGACATTTGAGTTCTAACTATAAATAAAACGGCGAACTGGAACACGAGCTGTAAATGTGACAAATAAATCTGCTAAATATACATCATGGTCCGTAGCCTGTATTTGAGTATTGACTATCTCGTTTTGACATTTAAATAATAGATCGAGATCTAAATATATAAATCAAAAGAATCGTAAACCGAAAGCGTTTCATATTTATCAATATTTAATCGTGATATTTTTATAATTGTCTCTCTCATAAATGCTAAAACATTCGGCTATAATTTTTATAGTAACTTTACTGACTATAAAGACTGACTATTATATATTTTTTAACTTTTATATTTAATAATTTTAAAAATAAATTATAGATTTAATATTTTTAAGTCTAGTGGCAAAAAGCAGTTGAAATACATATTGTATAAAGTGTAATTGCATTGTAATCATGCAGATATCATATAACATATTGCGTATTACTTGATACGTGATATGTAAATTATAAATGCATGCTGGGTTCGCTTTTGAACTTTCTCTAATTTCTCTGTGTTCGGTCGAAAGAATATTCTAGTTTCTGTTTCACTCTGCTGTCCCCCTTTGTGTTCATCTCGCAAACGACGTTAACGAGCGTGACGACACGCAATAAGCGCTCGGCGTTAATTTCGAAAGACAGTTTTCGTCAAGCATACAGATATATCTCCATATTTCTATATTAAGAAAATGTATAATTAAACGCGATGCTTAAGCAAAAAGGATACAGTTGTCACAACTCCCTTTTGTTCGCTGCTTTTTTTTTTTCACTGCCGCTATCGCTTTATCAACGAAAACTCTTAACAGAACACTGACGCTTCGCGTCTCTGCTTTTTCATCGCGATGAAGTACATATGCCTACGTACTCCTGCGCACAATATGAAAAGCAGTTCAAACTTCTTGAACTTCTTGAATTGCGACAAGAGAGATTAAACAGAAAGCTCTGAACACAAGAGAGATTAAAACAAAGAGAAAGGGTTAAAAGAGGGAGAGAACAACGAAACTATTGCTCTATTTCCACGTAATTGTGCATTTATAAAAAAATGTATCGCCGACACGAAAAATTACTTTCAATTGATATACAATATGCGGGACAGTTTGCTATTTGTCAAAATGTTATCTGCACTTTTTCTTGTTTTTTCCTTAAAAAAAAAAAAAAAAAAAGAACGTCTGCGCAAAATTTAAATGAAATTTTGGGAAGTAGAACCGTTTTGGAAGTTTCGCCCTAGTTTTCGGTGCGAAGAGTTCTTATAAAAATTCTCATTGAGTGCCCGTGCGGCTTATTTCTCGCGACGTGCTGGTGCGGGTAATATGGGACGCGAGCGTTACCGGAGCGAACTCCTCCAAGTCTGAAAAGATTAAACAGGGAGGGAAAGGAAAACGGTTCAGCGCGGCCGTACGAGAGGCGCGTCAGTTTATACGAAGACACGAGGAGCAGTTGCGGGTGTTGCGCCCGCACAGATATTGATCGCTCGGGTCACGCAACAGGCTGCTTGTCAGGACACCACTCGTCAGCTTGTGCTCCAAGGTAGCAGCCTGCTTGAAGGACCCTCCACGGTAACCCGCGGAGTCGAGAACCCGCAATAATTTATAAGACGAAGCTTGTCAGTGGCGCATCCGACGATCGAACGTATACAAGCCGTGTACACACCGCTCGGCCGGCATCTCCGTGCCGATTTGCCGGCAATGTCGATCATATTGACGTTATTTAACAAACGTCTGTCCCGTCCGCGGTCAGTCAATCGCCTACTGGCGAGCTCGCACGGGAGGAATGGATAATTCATGCGTAATATGGCAGAAGGGTCTTTTTATTCCACAAAACGATCGTTTTATGTAAAAGATACAAGGTGTCTTTTATCGAACTCCTAAAGCTTTCCCTAGGGAAGGGGAGGGGGGAAAGAAGTTCGTATCATTTTACGTCATAAGAGTATAACTTAAGACGTAGCAATAGATCAATACTGTTATCTGTCTGGTTTCCGTCTGGATTATTGCAAAGCACGAAATAATCTCTGCGATTTCCCTGTACGAATTGCTCGAGTATGAACGAACGGTCGAAAGACACAGCAGGAGCAATATCTGAAAAGAAGCAGCTCGACTTTGAAGACGAGCCGTTTCACGCATGATCGAAATCGCGTCCCCGATAACGGAGTGAGCAGAGCCCCTTTCGCAAGACCGAGTTCTTACTTCATCCTTCCGCACGGCGCAGCTTTCACACAAACCGCACGTTTCCATTCATCTGTCATTTTCTCTCCATCATTTATTCGGAGTGTCGGTCAACCATGCCTTCGATCGAAATGTAGCGAGTCGTGAGATAAAGCGCATTATCTATCTCGAATTAAACTTTTCATTACTTTATCTGAACCGTGTGTCCTAGATATCGCAATTCTTCAATAATTTGATCGTTTTGATTAATTAGATTTTACGAGAGTTTTTATACCGCGCAAAATATAGAAACGATATCAGATGTATAATGATTTATTGATTAGTTATTGGTTTCTTGTGTTATATTTCTTAAAATGGAATTTTTGTAGACTATCTAGAGTTTATTTTGATAATTAAATTGCGTTGTTAAATACTATTGTATTAATACTTATAGAATAAAGTTAATTTAATATCGTAATATTAAATATTATTACGTTAAAATGCTTTTATAACAAATATCTGACTTTAATTTTAACTTTGCATTTAAATCTTTTTTGCTCTGAATTTTAATACGTTGTTCTGAGATTTATGTTTGCTCATTTTTGAATAATGAAAAAGCATTTCTCTCTAGTTGCGTTTAATTTAAAGTCAACACAAAGTCGCGTAAACTCAACACTTTAAAAATTGGAGCGTGTTTTTTAAAGAAAACTTACTAATAATCTCAAAATTACACGTTTATTAAATGTGAAATTACTAAAATTAAATAGAATTTTAAAAAAAATTTAAAATATTTGAAATTGATATATTTGACAGACATAAAATATGTGTAATAATTACTAAACGTTAACTAGAATTATTTGAAACATTCTACATATTCATTCAAGACAACATTTGTATAACTATGTACATATTTAAACATGCAGATTTAAATGGACATTTATATTTTAGTTTAGTTTAAATCAAATATATTCATTTATTATATATACTTAAGAACTTATAAACGCATTAAAAATCTTATAACATTTTTGAAATAAAAACCGATAATGTGTAGACTCAAGTCAAACAGTCTCTTAACTTAACAATCATTATTTTTCAAAAATCTCTTTATAAATAAAATAATTTTAATAATAAATAAATGTTAATAAATAGACAAAAAACGCGGTTTTTAAATTAGTAAAAATTATACATTTAAAGCTTTTAATATAAATTTTAGATTTATAGAAAATTAAAACATGAATAATTAAAAAAAATTATGTATATTATTATTGATAATATAAATATTTAATTTTATTTATCATTTGATGATACTTTCATTATGTTTGCAAATTTGCTACAGAGAGCAGTACTTGACAGCCTATCACTTATGCTTATCACTTATGCTTACAAATTATTCTTTGTCATTCTTTCGTATAATCTTTAATGTAGAGGTATCTTGTTTCATATGTACAAATTGTATAATTCTTATATTAAAGTAGCTAAACAGAAATATACTTTTTTTATTTCTTTTTTGGCTCAAAGTTGATAACCCTTGCGCATTTTATTAACATAAGTACTATAATCGTAAAAGAAAATTTATAATTCTGTTGGATTAATAAAAAGAGATTTAACTATTTAACTATTTAAGATGTCTAACTAAAATAGCATTTAGAACTCCGCAGGATTGAAATGGATTGAAACTCATTTGTATCGACTGGCAAATGACGTACATCTTTAGTTCACCTTTTTCGAACTATCAGACAGCGTTACTGTCGGAGACTTCACGCTTGATACTCCGTTTGACGATCTTGTTTAATACTGTTCCGTGTTTTTACGTGTCACCGGTACTTGCCACGCGTGTATTTACGTGAGGAAATTTTCAAAGATTTTTTTCTCCTAACAGAGAGTGCACGAAGATTAACGAATATGGCGGCATTAGCAGTATTATATAAATTTTGGTTGGAATACACAAAAAATACACCCAAGAAACTCAAGATTATTGATGCATACTTGTTGTATGTCTTCTTGACGGGTGTTACCCAATTTGTATATTGTTGTCTTGTCGGCACCTTTCCCTTCAACAGTTTTCTCAGCGGTTTCATATCCTGTGTATCCTGTTTCATTCTAGGAGGTAATAATAATATTACTTACATTTGCAGCACTCTATTTACTCATCATTTGTCTGCAGCTGACAAATTTGAAATTTCTTGGCATATTGATAACAAATACATTTACAGGAGTATTTTCTTATTTTGTTTATTATATAAAGAATAATATGAATCTAAGTACATTATCTTATGCATAGAGTATTTATGAAGATTTATCTTTTTATATGTTTGTAAACAGATCATCTAATATAGTTGTATATTTTGTTTCAGTTTGTCTTCGATTGCAAGTTAACCCACAAAATAAAAGTCAGTTTCATGGCATAAGTCCAGAAAGAGGATTTGCGGACTTTATTTTTGCACATATTATTCTACATATTGTTATTATGAACTTTATTGGTTGAAGTACATGGCTACGATGAAATAATTAAGACGAATCAACATTACATACCATTTTAGAGAGTAAATTATTTCTGATACATAATGCTACGCTTTTGTATTTGCGATTGTGAATCATGACTCATAATCAGTGAATAAAATTTATGAAAATAGTTACAATTATGTTTTATCTTGCTTCTCATTTTTAACGGAGGAATGCGATAATGTGAAATTATTAAAGATTTTTAATCTCTTGCTCATTAATATAAATGATTAAATTTATATACTATTGGGACATATGTATATGTATAAACAAAAATGTAACAAATGCTTATAAAAATGTTTTAATTTTTTAATTGTTGTTAATGTCATTATCGACGAATAGTGGACTATTCCTCATTTATGTTTATGGACTATTTCTCATTATTGTTCTGTGATAATAAAAATCATTATTTACATATTACTTCATGTTTCTTATAGGTCTCGACATACATTAATTTTCATTTATTGCAAAAATACTCTGTATTACATCCATAAAGTAATGGTTTTTTTCACAAGTTTTATGAGGTAATAATGACAGATTGGATGTCATTCACGATTAGTAGAACTAACAGTTAATGCAATTGTTCCTTTTTTTAAGATAAAATATAAATTTTATTTTTTTATGAAACTTACCACAAGCTTTTGATTTAATTTGTCATGTTAATGGAAATTATTATTTTGACATATTAGAATAATTATAAAAAAATGTTTTATTAATCTGTACACACAAATTGGCTTGTGAACTATATAAAATTATGTAGGAATTTTATATAGTTTGGGAGAATAAGTAAACGATATAACTACAACAATCTATAATACATTTTATTTATATTACTGGTTGTACAATTCCAAATAGGGGATAGATATTATATTACTATGATAGAAGAGAAACAGGACACCTCATGCTCATATTTACAAAGGTCCTAAGGAAAAACTTATACTATGAAAGGTATAGCTTCAAGAGATTTAGAAAAGCATTATTATACTGTTTTTAACACGCTAAACAAACGGGATATTATCTCAGAAACAATATAATTTAAAGCTCTTTCATTTATGAAAATACTCATTTTTATACACACATATGTTATTTACACACATAGGCAATTAACGAGGATTAAGATAAATTTAATTTTTTTGTTTCAATATATATAAACGCTAGATTTTTCTATAAAACAAAAAAAGTAATTTAAATATTTCGAAGTATAACTATGATTAACACAATATTATAAGAGAGTTATAATAGAAATAGTAAATTTCGTATGTGGAGACATGCCATATGCAGAAGATCGCCTGAAATGAATATTGCCTTACAATGGTTTATCACTTATTTCCTATTTATGCGCAACTTAAAAGTCGATCAAATAAATAGCTTGATGAATGTTGAATAAAGTTTTAGCACAGCGATGGATGTCGGTGTCGTTACTGAAATAGGTTCTCGTCATCTGTTAGATGCGGACATTTGCATGAATCTAATTCTTTTACAATGTATGAATATCATACAAATATACAGGGTGTCTCACATTATGATCGCAAGTTGTGGGTTGGGAATACCCTGTACATATTTATCTGCAAATATATACGAGTACATATATGTATGTGTGGTGTGGTGTGGTGTGGTGTGGTGTGGTGTGGTGTGGTGTGGTGTCGTGTGTGTGTATGTGTGTAAATATAAGTAAACGTATCAAATTTTATCACATAATCAAGCTAGGAAGCTGTATTGTTATTACTAACAAAATACATAAGTTGTATTATTATGAAAATAAATAAAATGGACCATTAAAATATAAAAATATACTTCATCAAACTTATTAGGATTTAGATTAAATAATATGGTATGTATAAATAGGTTAATAATTAAGAGTAACTACATGTCCAAGTATAATAAGAATTTACTCATAATTAGAGCCCGGAAGTTCGTGAGGTTTTACAATAGATTTTCTCAGAGACCAATCACTTCATTTAACATATCTCTCTTTTTTTTGTGATTAATGTTATTTATACAAGACAATATAATTTTAACTGAACATAGCATGTGATGGATATCATATCGCAAAAAATAACGATTAAAATAGATATAATTTTTATTTTTTATTCTAATATTATAAATATGCAATAAAGGATTTTGTATCGATTGGTTACGTTTTGCTCATACATCAATAAACACAAAGATTATTATCGCATATCTAATATTCAGAACTCTATGAAACTATATTAACTTTAATATTCGATATTATATATTAAATGTTCTGAGAAGATTCATTTCTAAATCTCACAAACTTCCAAACCCGCTCGTTACATACGAAACTGTGTTCTATACAAGATTTACAACTTGTTACTATAATTTTCGCGTTTGTGCGAAACAAGTTTATTTTTTTTTATTTTTTTTTTTTCTTTTTTTACAAGATACAATCAGCAATCTAAGATTCAAATGTAGCAACTAAACATGTACCTTAACATAAAAAAACAGATACAATTCTGAAACATAAATATATCTATGTTTTGTCCGAAATATTTGACAGATTAAAAAACTTTCTATTTTAGTTTATTTTTTTGTAATGGAATATATTCATAATGAAATATGAAAAATATCTCAGAAATCCAACTTGATTGAACATTATACAAATATGTTCTTATATACCAGAATGTATCTTTAGAATGGCTGCGTTGCATCGCGGAACCAAAAATCTTGCATTTTATATTTTTCTTACGGATGAATCATTGATCACTGCGTGTTACAAGTCAATATATATATATTTTTTTACTCGTGCAATTCTTTCTTTTACTTTTTCAGCTATTAAAGCTCTGATGAGCATAAATGGATCTATGCTCATTGAATTGGCACGTTGTCACTTCTCAATTCATTTATGGCACTAAATATGTTAAGTTAAAAGAAGCACCGAATACATTCTTAAATTAATTTTGGTATAAATATTACAGTCAGAATACTCCGATCTATTTAAAAATCGTCAATTTCAGAGATCGTTTCACGGTCATCATTTTTCAAATCACATAAGATATCGTAGAGAAATAAAATGCTCTAAAATAAATATTCTAATTTACTTGTAAAGTAGGTGACAATGCAATTTATAGATTTTATCAAAGTCCGATGTAATTAATTTGTATCCTCAAATAATGAATTTTCCAAAGCGCATATATTACACCACTGTAGGCATTTCATAAGTTTTATTACCGGCATGATATTTAAGTAAGATTGCATAAAAATCTTAACTCCATCTTCGACTATCATCTAGTCGACTCATTGTAGCTCTCATTCTATTCTATGGCATTGAGTGATTGGCTCAATATGCTAATAATCGATCATGAGTATATCGTTTCACAACCTCTCGATAATCTTAGCAAAGTTATCGCGTCTAATCTCTCGACTATGATCTCAATTTGTCGTTACCAATTACGAGCACTAACTGTTAAATACACAAAGAGATCTCTCGGATATGCTCTTGCTGTATTTAATGATCAGTCATCAGCAAAGAGTACATACGTTGCCCGCGATCTTATCTTGTATTCGGAAAAAAAACACAAAAAAAAATACGCAACTCACCAACGACAGCACAGCTATGAAGCTCTGCGATCTATATTCGAAATCATATCAACAGGTCTGACTTCTGCTTTACATCTAGGATGTAATCTGTTCCGTGTTCTGCAAATTTGCCGAATCAATCTCGGTTTTACGATACTTCTCTAAATACCTTCTGCGTGCTGTTAATCGCATATGCTCTTTTCGCCGTTGGAGTATGAGTTCTCTTTCGGCAGATGATTTCGAGAAACGCCCACCAAGACTCGAGGGCTCTTCTCCGCTGCACAAAAATATATTAAACGAGATGATTAAGGATGTCCTAGATTACTATACAGTACGGATTGTTTACACAAACAATAATGAAATTATACTATCGCACATTCTTAATTCTTTATATTTCGTTACCTGTCGGCAAATGGGATATCAAATCTGGGATCTGGCGAATTTTGGATCGAAGAACTGGGCATAATGTTCATCATGGTCGTTTGCGTTTGCGGGACGGACTCTGCTTGTGGTTCTTCGATCAAGTGGTGTGGTATAGTTAATACTCCGTCGAGTATATTCTCCACTGTCCACTCGACTGACCGGGTCATTCTAAGATCTTCCAAAATCACATTGCGAGGATAATGAGGAAAAAGTTGCTGAACCTGAAAGAGCATTTTTATTATTGGTTATTTTGCCTACAACTCACAAACACATTTCTTTATAAGTCAAAATAAGAAGCAATTTTTTGTTACATAAAACTTTAAATTTATATTTTATGAATTACCTGTCTCGCCATAGCATCCATTTGAGAATTAGTGTGTGCCAATGTGGAGATGTTTCCGCGCAATCTGTTGTGCGAGACCTCGACGGAAAAGCTGGGCAACCAAGACACATATCTCGATCCATCGAGAAAGAGGAAGAAATGATTACCATTTCTTCTCGTGGGAGTCTGTGGTTCCGGTGGCATCTCCGGAGTGCTCTCTCTATGATTCGCTTGCATACTCAAGGCCAATCGGCAAGTGGGACAGGACGTGTCCTGTTCTAACCAGGATTGCAAGCACGAATTATGGAACAAGTGCGCGCATGGCAATTTACGAGCGCTTTCCATCTTCTCCCAGCATATCGCGCAGTTATCAGAGTTCTCCGCTAACTCATCTTGCGATGCCATTGGATAAACTAAAAAAAAAAAAAAACGGGGATAGATTAGTGGCATGCATATACGTGTATACGTACGATAAATTGCATTGTTCGTAAATTTGTAATTTTTGAATTTGCTTTTGTATAAAATTTTATATCAACGTCATGATAAAATACATATTATGTACTTTTGCTCCATATGATTTAGTACGGCTAAATAGTTCCTATGCTTCGTGATTCTCCGTTGTATCTCATAGAACAGGTATCTCAGTTGCATGCAAATCACTAGCGATGCCATACTCAGAAAGATGTTACTCCACAGAAGCATGTGAACGTGATGAAGAAAGTCGACCGCCAGCACAATCAATTCTGAAGTCAAATCCGTGTAGTAGGTCAAGGGACCGCGTTTGTCCCAAGAGCGTTGCGCCGAAGTGCCGGCGCCACGCGTATCATATAGATGAATCACGTAGCGTAGCATGACATGGATCGTACGCACTGCGAGCAAGATGCACTGTGGAAACAATTTATTATTAAAAATGAGATTAAAATCAATTAAATGTGAGGTAATCCATAACAAACTTTCGATTCGTATGTTTCAATCATATTTTAATAGAATTTTAAATTTATTTTTGTGAAATCTCAATTTAAAATACGTGTTACGTGTAAATACGTGATAAATCGTATAAGGAATATCGAAATATAACTGGTGTACGCCTTACCTCAGCTGCCATAAAAGCGAAGGTATTGAAAGATATGAAGAAGAAGGCTGCAGCGGTGCATAATAAAAGCATGAAGGAAGATAGCGCAAGAATTGCCGCCAACAATCCGAGAAGCCGTGCGTGACTCCATCCTGGTGTGGTGGGCGAAAAGGACAGCTACAATCCAACAATAATATACGTTATATACATCGCTACGCATCGCAATATCTTGTCGATCGTTTTGATTTTTAATATATCTCTGACGAAGAAATTATTTCAAAGCAAATATTTTCTAATTCTAAACTAATATTTATAAAGTGTAAAAACTGTGAGATATGTCTCTCTGATTTTGCTTTAACGTTGCCGGCTAAATCTTTTTTTATGCATATACATCTTTTTGCTCTTCGTTATGCTTACATATTCAAATCGATCCTTGCAGAGTTGGCTGAGGAGGCTGAGAAAACCGAGCGCCGTGAACCATGCCCACCAGAGCACCACTTCGTCCATGTATTGTACGTTTAAAACGCCAAAAACGAAAATGAATTTGTAGAAGACAAAATTCCAAAATTTGTCCTTAAGATGTTGCCTCTCCGAAGCACGTAGCTCACCAAATACGAGCTTCTGGATGGATTTGCCGAGAAGAATCAACACGCAGTAAGCCATGTTGATTAAAGTCTGTAAATGAAGAAAAAAATAATGCTAATGATTATGAATTGACATCTTGTGTTTTTATATATTTTTCATAAAAAAGCTATAAAGCTTGATGTAATGCTATAATGTTAAGAAAATTATGCATGCTGAAAAATTATCATAAATTACCATAAGCATATCGACTCTCTACTAAACTTGTTTAAAATCAGCGAAACATAAAGTATATTAAGGAACACGGAATCTAAATTTCGCTATAAAATTTACTTTCACTTTGTTAAAAATTTGCGCATAATTGCGATCTTTAATTACGTGTTGGAAAATATTTTAAATCCATTAATTAAAATAATAAAAATTAATTTAATTCAAAATTTTTAATTTGATCAAACTAAATATGAATCCATGATCTTGCTGTGTTTAATCTTTTTTAAATTTTTATATGCAAAACAGAATAAAATTAAAATGTTTTTCGACATGTGTATCCTACAAGGTGACAAATAGTCGAAATAAGTATTGTTTAATGACTGCCAAATGGTAGAAAGGCCATTTAATTTTAGACTCAAGTATTCTCCGTTTCAATGTCCGGCCAAATATTTCGAAATATACGCGGATGCAATTCGAGGCGCAAATCGCTGAGAAATCCTGATATCAGATCGAGATACGAAGTCAGAATGACAGAGATAAAAAGCTATGATAAGATTATATAAACCGTTTGATTATTCCTATACATACGAACTTTCTACTATTTGATAATTCATATAACGCGGTCATAAAAACAAGTTTCGCGTATAAGTTTCCCAGTGCTACGCAAATCAGCTGAGGATGTATTATGCGTTCGAAAGGAACAATAGGTAGCGTAATCACGCGATAGTTGCGTAGTCGCAGACTACTCTCATAACAGAACACGTAATGTCATAATATAGGCGATGAAAGTAGCGCGTTCGAGAACTGCCGGCCGTAACAGCCGGCAGACATCGATTTTCTTCTCAAAGAAAAATCTACGGCCTGTAAAGGTGTCGTGAACGGGACCACTTATTTTATTTAGATCGGTCGCGATCGAAAGTTTACGTCAACATTAAGACCAGGTTGTTCTTAGATATTGCATAAATCCTCGCTCATCGTTAGTGTTCGCTTTAGCTAGCGTATTACATTTATCATATCATTACAAACGAGAAACTAGAATGCACAAAGTATTTTATACAATACCGTTTTATATATAAATTATATAATTATTATATAATTATATTTTATATAATTATTATATAAATTATTTTCTATAATAATTATATTTTATATAATTATTATATAAATTATTTTCTATAATAATTATATTTTATATAATTATTATATAAATTATTTTCTATATTTACAATATATAATAGAAAATTGTGCAATTTAATGAAACTTTCAAGATTAATAAAAAAAAGATTTAAAAAAGATTTTTAAAAATATCAGATAAATGTTACTGAAGTTAAAATTTACATATTCTCTAAAACTCGTGGTTATCAAACAATTTAAAAAAAATGCGATGCAATTGAAAGAATAAAATGATTAATCTGTGAACATTTTTTGCACGTGCATATTTCTGAATCTGAACTTTGAATAAACATCGTTTATTTAACTGTGAATAAACATACCCAGATGCAGACGGGTTCGTCCACCATGCATTCTACGAGTTCTTTGAGATGCGTGCCAAAACTTCTCGGATCGGTGTCGTCTCCGGTTATAGCGTTGGCGCCCACATCGACGTGTGTGTGATTCGTTCTCCAAGCAGGATCCTTGATTATTTGAGTGGCATAGTATATGGAGCACGACAGTATGGCGAAGCTTATGGTGGTGTACACCCGAAGGTTCGGGACCGGCAAGCGGTCTAAAAACTCCATCGGCATGATTGGAAGAATTTTGAAGTCTTTTTTGTCGCTGAAGCACTTTCTAAATCTGCAATCATAATTAATTTTATACCGAATCGTTTTCGAGTTCAAAAATTAATTTTTTTATGGATTTCGTATCCTCACTTGTGATTGGTTAAAGAAATAGGCTATAATTTAGTTTTTAAATTACCTTGATTTTAAACACATCTGTTTATCAAAAAGCGAGTTAAACCAGTAAAACAAGTTTTTCGCATTTGGCATTCGCAGTGAAGGCCATTTAATTTTTGCTAGGGACAATTTAAAAATATTTTCCTTGAAAACACGTTTATTCAGGTGAATAATTAGCAGAATAATTACATCATAAACATTTGTACGTGACACGCGACCGAGAATGATGTATGTAAAAAAGATAAACTTCAATAATGTAAAATTATTTTTATTGAAAATTTCATATTTTCGAAATTTGTCTATAGTTCGCAATTCTCAAGATTTTTTCTATGATATTAATTTTCTTATAAATAGACTCTTATTGCCTTATTATCATAATATGTTATTATCTTTAATGATATGCGATTTTTGTATTGTATTGTTATTCAGCGATTTACATTTACAGAAATAATCGTATTTACATTTTGTCGCAAAATAATTCTCAAATGACGAAAAATCTGAAAATATCACATGACGGCTGCTTTCGAAGAAACTTGACGACACTATGCGAAGATTAAAAACACGAATATGTGTTTCGAAGCAATAACGATCGTGACTCAACGCAGACCTATCGCATTACATAGCACCGTGATATCGAATGCGACAAACCCACGTCGCGTTGATATTCTGTATATCGCCACGTAGTGCATATGTTACAACCATGTTACGCCGGCAGTAACGGCAATTCCACGCTCTACATAGTGTCCGGTAAATTGTGAAGCGAGACGAGGAGATAAAAAGATAAAGCGTGTAGAATAAATCGTCTTTTTTCTTCTTTGTGTAGAAAAAAAGTCTTACATACAAAAATGATGTGTCTTTTAATTCTTATCTTAAATCTTATTAATTCACGAATCGATTGTTCAAATATTTATGTTACTTTTCCATACGTTAAAAATACACGAAGATGTACGTGTTGCTAATATAATTTAATAAATCTTTCATAACAATCGAAACTTGCCTGCCAACTGTGTAACGCTGAAAATAATCACTGGCCATGTTTGACAGAAAAAATATCGCTGATAAAAATTGTGCGTCATGAATAAATATTCTCGGCTCAAATAAAAACCCCGTTGATTCACATTTGATTAAACCTCGACTAGTCAAGGAAAATGTAAATGCGTACCTTCTTATCTTTTAAAATGCATCAATATGCGCAAAAACAATATAGCACGTCTAAGGTCAATTTTTTGCATTTTGTATTGCAACTATATTCTTTTACAGGTTCTTCGTATCACATAAATTATAATAATCCTACAAATTGCTATCAACTATTTGCATCGTTTTGTATTTCAAATTGACAGCATGTTTATGTTCTTGAGCATTAACATAAATAATTATAGATCGTCATTAATATTGCGTGAATAGTACACGTGAGCGTTATTCTAAAACAACTGGAAAGATAAGCAGGAGAGAAGAAGCACATAAATATAATGAGAAAACACTGATGATGCAACATACTACGTTTGAATGCTGTATTTAAACATAATTCGTATGCATTAAAGTAATTATGAAACTTTTCAATCATATTGCGATAACACAAAAAAAAAATAAACTCGACGATGCAGACGCATTGAAAGGTGTAGAAACGATTAGTTTCTTCGAGATTTTTGTTGTAAAAAGTTGAATTTGAAATGATTAAAAGATCCCTAATTAAAATTAACATCGTCGTTTCTGTATATTTCCCTAAAGTCCTTCAGATTTGAATTTTAGGTCGATCTATTCAAACCGAACGACTCTGAAGGAAAAAGCGACATGCGGAATATTTCGGTGCAATCAGTAGAATATTTTTGTCTCTCCGGATTGGATAAATTTCACGCTATGCGTGGTCCTCGACGATATATGCCAAATATCGATCGACACGTCGCAGATAGAAAGCGCCTTTCACGCGGTAAAGTCGGCAAAAGGGTTAACGCGAATGTGTCGCTTCCTGCAAGGTGGACGAACAGCTGGTACGTGATAATTCGATTCGAAGACACCTGCATCGTACTGGCCTCTTGATGTTTTTTTCTGAGTTGTTTTTTTAACCGCCGAGCCTTTCTTTCCGAGCCGAATATTCAAAACTTATTTTAGAGCCACGTTCTACAGTTGTATTACTGTATTGAAGATAAAACTTGTCATACTTTCAGCGTTTTCTGCATGTATTTTTACGCTAAATTTGAAATGTATGGAATATCTTTCTATCGCTCTTTAGGTTTCGTATAGCTGTGTGTGCGTGTGATTTATGTACCGTTTCAAAAACACAAAACGCTTTCATAAAACTGCTCTCTATTTATAAAGATGGTGTATTTAAGACATTCAGAAAGTTAATCTCTCTCTGATTTTCAACATGGACAAACAAATTTACAGAATTATTTAGGGTCACTCAAAAATCTTCTATGTAAGAAAAAAAAAACTATAAATAAAGATTGAATATAAAAAACTATTATTAGCTTCACCTAACAATACTTGTTGTGTTACACAATACTTATGACAGAAAATCGATGTATTTTGTTGTCAGTATAGTCTTTCGAGGCAGACAGAAAAGAGACGCAAAGTGAAGAAGACGTGAGCGAGCGGACGGCTGCGAAAATGAGATTCAAGGAAAAATTCAAGGAAAACTTACCCCTCTGGCTGATGCCAAGAACACGCTTCCTCAAGCGTGCCGCATAACCAACATCCACCGACGCTGGCGACAATCGTGCTTCTCGCTTGTTATAATCGCCTTTCGTTGATCGCACGCCGCGTCCACTTGTGCACCGGTTACACACAAAAATCCAAAGACACCGGTTCCAGCAAGCCGTACGCGGTAGGAATGAGGAGGAACGGGATTACAGTCACAGGGCGACGCGGGGAGGGGGCGAAGGCAAGAGAGAGAGAAAAAAAGCGAGAGACGCAGAATGTGAAGACCGTGCCGTTCCGAAGAGGGAAAGGAAGGGGTAAGATGAGACCGGGGGGTAGGTGGATGGGTAGGTGGACAGACGACGAGAAAGTGAGGAAGAGAGAGAGAAAGTGAGGAAGAGAGAGAGAAAGAGAGACGGACGTATGGCTTCCGCGGTCTGCTCCTCCTCAAACAGGCGCGGCGTCCCGTGCCCGACACGTGTCGCGTATTTGCGCACGCTACGTGAAAATATCCTTCCGAGGAGTCCGAGGCTGGTCGCGTCGTAACGTCGCCGCTATCGCGGACGTCTACATCGTGGACATGTCACGGGATTCCGACGGAAGACCTCCGAGCCTGATGCAATACAGACGCGCCGCATCGATCAGACACGGCGTACGGCACGAACGCACGATCTCACGTTTCGTCACGACACACCCGCGCTTATAATCTGTGACTGCAGGACATATCACGTTGCAATCGTGACAGACACTACCGATTGCGATGGACACTACGCGCTACCCGAAGCGCTCCCCGACCATATCGACAGTATTAGAAAGAAGACTGAAGCGGCTGATGCTCGCTCGGTAATGTAGCGGCCTAATCGTAGATAACATATGCAGCTAGACGAAGCATTCAGTCTGCAAAGTGAAGTCGGAAGTTAGCGACCAAGAGAAACAGTCAGTTTGTAAGTTTTACTTCTCACTCGCGTACAAAGGTTTATAAATTTTTTTTATTTATTTGCAACGAGTTGGTATTTTTTAATAGTGTCATTTTTCTACGTGCTTGAGATAAAGCGAAATGTAAACTTGCAGCCGCTTCAATCGTAAACTGCAGATTTCCGGCTTTAATCTGTAAATCGAATGTTTCATCTATCGATACGTATTGTCATTGCAAATAACGCATGGTGGCCAACCTTCCACTTCTTCGAGAATAGTAAACGTTGCGGAAGATGATTGGTCAACTTATCATTCCTTTCCGAGTATAACACGTTGTCGTATCCTGTGTGTGAAAACAGTACATCGTTGGCCTTTTCTCTGAAATTTTATTTCTATCAATTATCCGTCAGAAAACGAACATAATGGATTATACAGCACGTCTCTTTCTTTCGAGCTTTACGATACTCTTGCTTTGCATAAGTTATATTCAAGGTAATCTTTTATATCTATTGCATATGAATTATTACATTATTTATTATAAAAATTATTACACATTGCTATCATTGTACGTCTACATTGCTATCATTATATGTCTGCCTAAATTACTTTTGCGGTTAATTTATTTCATGATGTTTTTATTTAATTTATCGTATTCGTGTTCATTATTGATGCTTAAGTATTTTCAATAGTAAATGTTTTTATACTACATAATTATGTATATCTTAACATTTAATGTAGTAAAATATACAACGTTAAATTGCATATAATTTGTATTTAAACAGCAATTTTATGAGTATACTATTTTGCAGCTAAGGGAACACAACATGTAACTTGTGGTTCTGTACTAAAGTTAATGAATGTCGATTACAATGTGAGGCTGCATTCCCACGATATAAAATATGGAAGTGGTAGTGGACAACAATCTGTGACCGGTACAGAGGTCAAAGAAGATGGTAATTCCTATTGGCTCGTCAAAGCGGAATCAGGAAAACAATGCGTAAGAGGGTAAGCTGTAACTTATAGTTCCACACAAATTTTTATCGATTATATTGAACATCTATATATTCATATTAATAAATTGTGATAATTTTTATAGGAAGCCGATTAAATGTGGAGACATTATCAGATTAGAACATGTCACAACCAAGAAGAATCTCCACTCACATTTAGTTAGTTCACCATTGAGTGGAAAGCAAGAAGTGTCGGCATACGGAGACAACAAGGGAGACGGTGATACTGGTGACAACTGGATATTAGTGTGCAACAATGATTTCTGGGAGAGAGATGATACGATTATGTTCAAGCATGTTGACACTGAGACGTATGTATATGCATGCAATATATTATTTATTTACTATAAATTCATTAAGTAATTTATTTTAAAATTCTCTTTAATAGAAATTTAAACTCGAATAAGAAAAATATTGTATATCTATAATGGCATATAAATGACATGTATCTTTGTAATATGTTTAGATTCTTGGCTGTCAGTGGCAGAGCTTATGGTAACCCAATTAGTGGACAGATTGAAGTAGTAGGTGACTATTCTGCAAATAGTCCTCACACGCAATGGACAACTATGGAAGGATTGTTTATTCATCCCAATGATTTCAAGGCACAACATCATCATCATACAGAATTATAAATACAAATTTTATAGCAATAACTAAATATAATTTTTTTTTCTTTTACAGGACCAGTTTAAGTCATAAAATAATAAGATTACTCATAGTCTATTCGAGAAACAACTTGTAAAATCAGTTACTTAAAATTCGCAAAATAATTCAAGAACAAAAATGATAACAGATTGGAATTCAAGAGCACTCTCGGTCTACCATCATGTTTTTATTATAGCGATTACATTAATTTTGCTAGACATTTTTCAATAAGAATTTGATTGTATATATCTAATTTATATTATGGTTTAGTATAAGCAGCAATTCTTTTGTAAAGAATCCAAAAGTACATTAATTGTGAAAGACGCGAGTGTCTCTGTATGATGCATAAATGTGTGTACATATATTTATATATTATAATGTTTAAAATAATGCAACTTAATATTATAATAGATTTCAATGTAAGTACATCATAAAAAAAGTATATATGTTGGACTTAACGTCAGTCTACTATTTATCTAATTATAATTTCACACCTCCTTTAATTCGTATTTGTCATTGATGTCTCTTGTGCCTATGAGACCATTATATGGGAAAATAATATTCGATAGACCGTAGCTTCCAAATATCTCTTTCAGACTTTGCTTTCCCGTAACATTCGCGTAACGTTGTTTACCGGTTAAACAACTATAAAGTTTCCAGGTGCCGAACACTAGACAAATACACAAAATTGACATCAGCAGGTCGAATATCGTGACGAGTAGTACACCCAAACTTTCTCTGGATTGCAACAATCTGGCCAGGGTTGATGGGAAAACAAAAGTTCAAGAATATATTGAAGTAATCTGTGTCACTCAGAATGTGACTGACGTTTTCATACATGTACGGACCCAGCACGCACAAAGAGTACAAGCACGTCAGTGAAGTGTAGAAGCAAAACAGTATAAAGTTGCCCATATTCTGACGCAGCACACAAGCACCCAGGAAGAAACAGTGATGATCCCTGAAGTGAAAGCACTTTCGACAGAGGGAGCAGTGCTGGGTTGGCTTGTACATGTAACCCTGACACCTCTCGCAATGCCAGAATTTGTAGGTCATATAACCCAGCTCCACAAAAAACTTATTTTTGGAATTCACAGACTTAGGCGTCTGAACACTTACATTAAACAAATTATTTTGTACTTCTTTGATTTTCAATGGATTTGATCTATAGCTGATGCTATACACTGAGTACCAATTTAAATATACTTGCATACAGAGGAAAAAAAATATTGGACAGATCTTCTGATTGATGTAACTCGTGAATGCAATGATGAATATAGTGCATGATAATGTCAATAACGGACATAACTTTTTAAAGACCTTCATACAATTCTTTACATATTGAATCTGAAACATATCTCATGTTAAAAGCAAGTATCTTTATGAGTACAATATATAAATTTAATTTTCACACACATATATATATATATATAATATATAAATACATTGCACATACATCATATATGTGTCTGCCTATTTTATATGCCATTCTGTATGCCCAAGTCATATTCATATAAAATATTATATTTATATTTCTGCAAAGACAGCCATTTGTCAAATAAACGTTTTTGACATACACTTTTTATCTTGATTTATTTTACTGAAAAAAAATTTATATATTTTTATTTAATACAAAAATAAATTACTAAATAATTCAACATTAAATTATCATTAAAATAAATATCGTACTGTTGATTTTCAAATAAAAAATTGATCAAATCGTTTACTCACCTTAATTATAACCTCAAAGATTCATTTCTACAGATATCTTTAATTTTATTTAACTAAACAAATCCGAGCTTTTCTCAAGATAATCATTTATAATATTCGATGAATAATTGTTATAATTTAATCTTTTTTTATACAATACACTTCTTGCAGTAATAACGCGTGTGAGTTGTTAGCTAGCATGATCTGACATGTATATATCATATATATCTATATATTGATTAACAATAATAGATATAATCATTGTAATAATCCTTTTTGCATTATCCGATGATAATAATATTCCAGAAACAAATTCTTTAAGATACGTAGCCCATTTACACGAATAGCTGATTATTAATGTAGAAACATATGGAAAAAATTGTATTTTAAAAAATTGCGCCATTCTTGTCAAATCAATGTTTTCCTGGCCAGGTTAGCCAACTCAAATCGCGAGCAAGTAATATAAGCCAGTGACGCCAGATTTGAGACGCAAGCAGCATGAGGGAGGGAATACCGCACACATGCGCAAGCCACGTACATACATGTGAGCTCCGCGCTTCGCCTTGCTTTTAAAAACATTCTAAAAACATCTTAAAAGAAGCATTTAGTATTTTGAATTTTTCAACAAAAAATTTTCCAAAAATTTAAGAGACGTTTTAATTATTTAAGTATTTTACGAGCATTCTAACACTATCAAAAGTAGCCCAGAAGCACGTGTAGAAAAATTAAGATTACCCGAGAATTTTAAAAATGTTAACAGGAACACATGTCGCAAAAAAATTATGTCCTTTTAATATAACAAAAATATTTATATATATTCTTGAAGACAAGAAGATTAGATTATTCGGGAAATATTTCAAAATAGGAAGTAGGTTATAAAATTTGAAAAGATTACTGATAACCGAACAGCTATATGCTATTTATTCTCACTATAAAAAAACACGATTATACTTTACAGTTATAATGTTATATACATTACTATAAATGAATCGCGTACAAAAGGATAACAGACCTATACTAAAAATATATGATGATCATGATTAAAAGTTAAATGTAAAATCTAAATGATTAACTAATCTTAGGTATTTATCTAAAATTATTAAATATTAATAAACGATTCAACGAGGTGACACAAACTTTGTTCTTAACACTTGAATAAAGCCGATTAGGAACATTCTTTGAATTTAGAAATTATCTAAATAAAATTATAAAAAATTAATTACAATGCACATCATTAAAAATTGATTCAAACATGAACAATAAAAGATTGTTCTTCGAACTTCGCGTTATTCTCAACCGAGATATCAATTTGAGCTAGAATGCATTCTTTTCCTTTTCTTTTTCCTTTCCTTTTTCCTTTTTTTGGTGCACAAATTTTCAATCAATATATAGATTTTCTATCAATATAAATTTTTATACATATTATACATACATAAGAAATTATAAATATGTATAATTATGCTCTCGGTTTTGTACATTTGTGTAAATAACAACGGGAAATATATCGAACGTATTACTCTTATACAAAAATATCAATTAAACAGTCTCCAGCAATTATGAATACGATAACGATAACAATTAAACTTACAAATATAAATTAAAGATTTTACAAATATAGCATAAACCAAACCGCTCAAAGAAATAAGATAAAAAAAAAGAAAAGAATAATGTAGCAATTAATAAATTTATGGAAATTAGACAATGTAATTAAATGATGCTGTTATATTGCGATTTTTTAAGTACTTCAATTGTATGGAACTTGAGTTGTGCATGCCTAAAATTACATTATGTAATTATATACTGTACTATTTTGTACTTTTCTCTTAAAAAGGAATAGAACGCAACACATGTACATGCGTAACATGCTACATATGTACATAAATATAGAGCTACAATTTCCTCTGATGTGACGAAACAATTCGCTCTATGTCAATCGTGTAAAACTATATAAATATTATATTGCGATTTGCATATGATTTACGAAAATAGATTGCGATAATAATACGGTAATATAATTCGAAACTTTCAACACTGGAGAGTGTAAAAAATATGTTCTTAGGACCCTCGTTCTTATGATATATTATTCTACGACGCAATCATCACATCACTATACATATATCTATGGTTGATTGCGACGATAAGTTGCCATTGCTTTTATCAGGGGATTTATTATATATTTCATCTGTAAATCCCGATTCTGTTATTACTCTGTATTTATAGTTGCTAGAGACTAGTTCAACGATACTCCTATATAAGAGTAGTATGCTTCACCGTAATTCTCCGATCGGCGCATTTTGAGACCATAACTCATCTATAAATCTATATAACGTATCGCTGACAGCCACCTGTAACAGATATTAAGAAAACATATTTAAACAATTTTCCGCAAGTTTTTCAAATATGCATTTGATTTATCCGCACATTAAATTCTTTGAATATTCGAAACTTTTATGAAAAGCCTCTGATATTTAATAATTTATTGTTAGCAGCTTTCAAAGTAATCGAATGCTTATTCTCACCTTATATGGTGTTGGATTCAGGTTCCTTTTATGATCGTTACGCAACGTATTGAGAGATTCTTGTACTCTATTGCGAATTTCCTGCAATGTGGGCAGTGGCTGACGTAGTTTGCCATCTTTCCAGTATATCTGTAATATTTTGGCTTATTACAAGTCACATATGGATATCAATAATGAAATATTTCTGCTTATGTATGTATTCTTATTCATAAAAAGAATTGAATGAAAAAAATTCCAAATTGAACAGATGTTAAATACTTCTTAATAACACTATTCATTCACATATCGTGGTATATATCGTAGTACAATCTGATAATATCTATTATTTCAATCGTCGTACCTTGTGCAAAGATTCCACTCGAGACGGTGTAACGTTTGCCCTTTTTGTTTGTTGAAACGGATGCCTGCAAAGAACCTTTTGCATCACTTGCGGTGGCTCTTCCGTCGTTTTCTGCAAAAGATCTATCAACGCGTAACCGTCTGATCCGTACAATCTGTAGGCATCCTTCCTGCCTGGTATTGTGACCTTTCCAACTTCTTGACTGAGTTTAATTCTCGGCTCGCCGTTGATCTCTACCATTTTATAAACACAACCCAACGCTGGCTGTCTCTGACATGTCACGAGATGTGTCCCGATTCCAAAGCAATCAATTTTGTGACTCTAAAAGATATTATATATATTACGACATCATTCGTGGTTACATTCTACGATTCGCAAATCTACTCGCACCTTTACCTGCTCGTTCAGGCTTATTATAGTTTCTTCGTTGATGTCGTTTGAAGCACAAATCATCAGTTTTGCAAACCACGGTATGTCATACTTGATAGCAATTTTCTCGAAGATATCTCTCGCCACATTACTGAGATAGGCCAAATCGCCGCTGTCAATCCTGATCCCGACGGCTCTGTATCCCAAGTCATTCAAAGCTAAGCCTACCGCACAAAAATTTAAGAGACCGCTCCTGTTCACAAAACATACATACATCTATAAGATATTTGAATAACAGATATCTATTAACTATTTATTGATTATGACTAAATGTGTTGAAAAGCAATCTAATCATGCAATTTAAACATACACACTTGTTACAATTTTGTAATAATTATCTGAGATAATTAAGCCTAAACTTGGCAATATATTTTATAAAAATGCCTATTATTTCATGTAATTTGTTAGTTAATTAAAACGTTAAAATCTTAGAAAGTGAAAAAAAATATGTTTAAATAATTTATATATAAAATGCACATCTTCAATCAATTTAACAAAATTTCTGCTTCATGACAACTATATTTTAAGAAAATTAGATTAAAAATTAAATAGATTTGTCCAATTTCTATCATATTGTTTCTATAGTTATCTATATTCTCTAGTGCAATGTAATAATAAATTAACTTTCTTAGATTTGCCAAGTTTGAGATTGAAATTGTATAAGAAAAGTTGCACACAAAAGAGTAAGCACAATAAAATAGCTAAGACTACTTGAACTTGCATTTACTATTAGTTGGTGTATAAGTGGGTTAATAAATATTACAACAAATTATTCCATCACCATTAATGTGTTTAGTAAAAAGAACTTTACGATATTTTGTCTAACACACAAATATAACCAATTGATACCGCATGTATCAGTACAGTGAGAATATCATGATAAATTCAGCATTTCAAGATATTATTCGCTTTTTATAGCATATTTATGCAGTATTTTAGCGCGTTTTAGCATAAGCAAAATTTCATAGAATTGCATATATTCAAATAACGGTCAAGATACACAGACTATATCCATATTTAGTTACTGAGAGTCTAAGGGGCAGAATTGGGAGGGGCTATATAAGATCACAAGTGTGTAATAACTAACTATATTCTAACAAAAAATGATATTTTTATCACTTTATCGCTAATTAGCATGTCATGAAAGTAACATGATATGATAATATATATAGTTTGCAATCTGCCTGTTTTACAGAATATTTTTTCTAATAAGCGAAAGTAGAGAGAAGAAAATTAAATTAAATATATTGTTCCAGCTATTAAGCAATTCAAAGAAAGTTCAAGATTTAAAAATATATAAAATTAATTAATTTATAATATTAAATTGCCTTTTCTATATTTGATTAAATGTGATTTAAATCTTAAAGGTCTTATTAATGAAAGAATGTCGATCAGTTTCTCGGCGACACAAATAAAAAAAAAAAACAAAAAAAAGATAAATGTACAGCTTGTGAAGCATAAATTTGATGAGAAGAAAGACGAGGAAAAGCATTCTGCAAAAACAGGCAAACAGAGCGATATCGTACCTCATATAGAGCTCACCCAATTCACCTTGTCTTAAAAAGCCATTCTTGTGAAGTTGCGAGGTCGTTTCTGATATAAACGGGTTGTTTCTCACACTGTTTTGGGCGTGTGTATTGGACCCGTTAGTTAGAAGTTTATTCTTTACATTTAGGCTGGCCACTTGTGCCTGCCCCTTGGCTGTTGCCTGAATGCTACAAACACACTCCTGTTAGGGTACAGAGTGTACATGCTTATTCCGCGTCGCGCTGACAAAATTAAATTAACACAGCCATCGATGAGATCAAATGAAGAATACACTTTCATCTTATTAAAAAATTTATTCAAATTTATTTTAAAGTATGTTAATTAATTCTCATTCGCGTTGATGAGAGACGAGTGTATGAGATGAGAATAAACGGAAAACTTTGTACACTCATAGTGTGCAGTCATTAAGCTTTGAAACTTTAATTATCACGATAATATTAATCATTACACACTATACGCCTACAAAGGACTACTTAAACTCGCGCGTATACAGTTGTTTGTTTAATACGCAATGTATGCGTATGATATTTTAAAAAACTATTTCTATGTTGATTAATTAATACCGAATTTATCGGAGTTTATTAGAATTAAAATATTATTCGCGTATTTTTCTACGATTCGAATATTTTACATGATTGCCGATCAATTTTAGGCATATTATCGTGTGCACTAAATAAAATTCTAATAAAAGAATAATGCAACGTCAAAGAACAAGTACAAAGCAAAAGAATGTAAAAGAATCGATGAAAGAAATAGTAAATGAGAAAAAACATAAAACTTCTATTATCTAACTAATGCAAAAATAGCTGAAAATAGCAAAGTGGCTACAAAAAAATCTACGTAAAATTCATGCGAGTATGCATTGAAAGAATTCTAATCTAAAGCTTACAAGCTACAACTTTGAAAAATAAACATAAAACTTTCTATTTAAACTCAAAGCATTAAGCATTAAATAATAAGTGACATAGCTGCATACCTCTTAACGTCATATGTGTCCACGAGTGCGGTAAATCTTTCCGGGAAAGCAACAGCATAACTGATCAAAGCTGCCAATTCTCCATCAGATGCCTGTGAAGCTAGAGCTCCTAAATCATCGGCGATATCTTCGCGATATTTGCAAGCAAGTTCCAATAAATCGAGAACATCGCCCGTTTGCTTGTGTGCCAATGTCTAGAAGAAACAAATCGATTTTTTCTCTCTTTGAACTTCCTGAAGAATTTCAATATTTATTTTAACTAGAGAAAGGAACGAGCTTTCTCATTAAATATGCTCACTTTCCCATGTAAATCGTCAATGCTGCCGAAGGATGTGATGTATGCGTGCGCGTGCGTGCCGCACACAGGTATATTAAATAGCTTTCCAGCCAAGACATTGCTAGTTCCGTCGAATCCACCTGTAACGTAACAAATTATGTTAAATTTGATTTTCATAATTTAATTTTATCCATTGCGAGATACGCGGCTCCATAGTCCTATTCATTCTATATGATAGATATATAAATACACATGTATATAGATCTTTTGACCTCCTAAACTGTTACTCATCACTTAGGCAGTATCAACTGGCACCGAGTGGAACAATGTATTGATTTCACTTTTCACGAAATTGTTAAGTATAGTGTAAGTGGTAGAATAGTACCAGACACCTCCGCTTTCCGTTATATATTACATTGCTGATATGTATATACAAAGATTCGTGCATATCAGATCGGGCTTGTGATATGATATAGATGGTTGTTCAAAATGTACTACATGTGATAATTACACATTTTGCTTTAGCAATTAAATATTTTTTAATTCAACGTATAAAAACTTCTACTGTACATTTCTACATTGCACACGCTATCGTAATGTAGGTCATTGCCGCATTGTCGTAAGTACAATAATTAGAATACTAGAGATAATGTGAATGTGACATGAATTGTAAGCAAGGCAGAACTTTTGAATATATTGCTGCTTTAGCAATTTTGTTTTGAATATTATAAACTGACAGCAAACAAATAACTGAACTTATCGAATAAAAATAAAAATATCGATAAATATACAAGTAAACAAGTATTGATAAGGTATTTACCAACATAGCTGTATTTAGATGCGCTTAATCCACCATCGGGTCCTTGTGCTCTTCGAAGACCAAATTCTAGCAGCGTTATATTTTTCCCGGCAACCATGCGATATCTCACCGCATTGGTCGCCATTAAGCTTGCATAGTTTACCAATGTTAATAAAGTTGTTTCCAAAAGCTGCACCATTATCAGCGGCCCTTCCACTCTTATTAATGGAATTCTGTAAAAATATCAAATATATCAAACAGTTTCAAACACTGACTTATATTAAGAAAATTAAAACTTTAACAAAAATATGATTTAAATTATGAAATGTCTTTTTGATTTATTATTTGCAACTGTTAAGAATTAATTATAATGTTTCGCCGAAATGTTATTTAAATGTTAATTTGAAAATAAGATTTTTGAAGATAAGATTTTTGAAAATAAGATTTTCTTAAACACACCTGGGAAATACAACAGATCCCTCATCTATAGCATATATTGTGACATCTTTCGCAGTAAGACTCTGTAGATAATCAAAGAATCTTTGGTCTACCGTAGCAGGCATAGTTGATTTCAGGTACTTGATATCTATAAGATGAAACTCCAATATAATTTATAAAAGAATCGAATATATAACAAAAAGCTGTTGAAAATACAAACCACTAGAAGAATAATGGAATTTATTCAAGAACTTTATGCACTCCTCAAGACCGGCAAAGATCGTGAATTCTCCCTGGAAAGGATTCCTGCGAAAGAACAAATCGAAAACGGCGTGGTCGTTCATTTTGCCGCTTTTCCAATAGGCGTAAGCCATTGTAATTTGATATAAATCTGGAAACAAACATTTTTCTTCAGCAAACAAAAAACAATTTTAAACAGCCGACAATTTTATAACATTGATAAAAAGTGCGGCTTACAAAAAAACATGTGATTTATTATCGATAACAAAGTCATACATATTGACTGTTCACGCGATCAAGTATCAATTATATGTAATTATTTTTTTTATTTGCGGGAACCTCGCTCCAAAGACACGATTTTATCTTCGAATCTACGCGCTGCGGAGTATAATGAAGAAAACCTTCCACACATGCGAGTGATGTTGCGCTGTATTTTAAATAAATTTGCGTTGACATCAAGTTTTTTTCTGTTAAGATAAGATCAGAGCTATGTACGAATGCATAGCTAACATTACTGTCTATTATGATGTGATCGGAGCGTGTATATTTACAAAAATGATCACGCGCTTACATCACACACTCACGCATGAATGCACAACTGCACTTTCCGGTCGTGAGAATGCAGTCATAAATAATTTAACCTCATTTCGCACGCAGTTTGTCGCGGGTTAATGATCGCAAACACGATTTTCGACTCGCGTTAATTTGCGTAATTCGTATCCTTGCAGACTGTTGAGATGAATCGAGATTAATTTTCACAAGATTACAGTTCGATTGATCCCGTCAAAAAAGGTTGGAGAGACCGATTCTAAAATAAATCTAAAATTCCTCACAAAAATAACATATTGAAAACACGATATCAACACGTGGTATTTTATTTACATATTTTACGTATTTAATGTTTTTTGAAAGTTCCATAAATATCACGTAAGAAATTTCAATTCTTTTCAGAGCGACTGTTTTAAAAGCTTTCGATCATTCGAATCCGAATCCTTCGATCGGACACTGCGTTTATGCGATCTTCGCGTCCTGACGGACAGCGCGATAGAACGAATGGAAGTAAGATTGAGGTTAGTTTGACGGAATGATTAAGAGACGTAATGTTTGATTTGCGATTTACGTACCTGTCAGCAGCGGCTGAACGATGCCGTTTTGCCGCGAATTGCAGCACATCCTATCGTCGTCGTCCATTGACACACTGCGGGCCGCGACTCTCGCGCGCGTTTGTTCCGGGAAAGAGCAGCTCGCCCCGCTCTCTTGCTCTCCGCCCCCTTGGGTCGCGTTTCACTTGCACTCACTTGCGCTCCCTGCATCGAAAACGGACCGGTTGTACATATTACGTCAGAGTTGTCAATTCGCGAATTGATCTTTCGCGTGTGTTAATGATCGAAATAATGATATGAATTTGGTTTATTAAATATTACAGAATCGGGACGAATTTTTTATCAAGTGACAAAAAGCTGAGACAATGAAAAATGCGAGTGAGATATGCGTTCAGACTTGGCGGGAAGGAAAAAATGCATATGTTGGAAATGCAATGTAAAGACAAACCGGTGCCTGCGCGATCCTTCGTGTCGATCTGACGACGATCGCACTGTCACTGCCGACGACGTCGACGTGATGGCGTCAACTAGCATGCTTCGGCGCGAGACCGTCGTAATATACCGCTGGCGGGAATCGATAGGGAACGTTTGAAGGACACCCAACGCCGTTGGCACGGCCTGTTACCTCTCGCCAACTCCGCCAATCGTTGAGCCGAGCACGTCGGAAATTACTAGACGTCCGGATTCGAGCGCGCGACCGGATCTCCTTCTTCCCTTGTGCAAATGTGGCTATAACTTTTTATCTTTTTACGAGAGAGAAGAAAAAAGGTACACAAATACATATTAGCAATACCAGTTATCCCTCCTTTCAGGTAAATTTAATATTAGATTCGTAAAACTTGAATATTTAACAATGCAAAACGTCAACATGAGGTTAATCTCTTATAATTCCTCTTTTCCTCTTTTAATATATTTTTTTTTAATAATATAACAATCGCTCGGACTAGCTTTATTCGATGCAGATATCTAAAGATGAAAGTGTGGTTTGCTAAAAGATTATCTTTGGTCTCAGAGTGACACTGCATCCCAAAAGGAACAGGCATGCATAAAAGAAGAAGAGATTCCACAGTGCGATAGTCGACCCATGCAGAAAAAAAATAACAAAAGGTTGAACTCCACTTTCTACATTGTTTCCTGCCTTTCCTTTTCTTGGAGGCCTACAGATACATCTATTCTATTTTGTCCAACTAATGCAGTGTAGACATTGTACAGATTGACCTCCATAGATCCATTGTGTAAATCCATTGTATGCAGATAGATCCTTCAGAATCTTTAATTAGTATTGTAGGGTCTTTTTTATCTAATGACTTGAAATATTTTGCTGCGATAATGATAAAATGTAAGGAAGAAAGTTTTTTACGCATAAAATAATATAATCAAAATCATAAAGTTTTATGAATTCAATATCTCAAGATAGCATGCAGACAACACTAAGGCTTTTATAGGATTTACGATATCTTTATGATATTTTATGTATTTATGATATCTTATGATATATTTATATCTTTTGTAAATAATAATTACAATATTTATCAAATCTGTACACACCATTGTTATGTCTGCAACAATCGTGTAAGCTATATATATAAACATGATTTCACTCAAGTTTTACTTCTCTTCCTTCTTTTTTACGACTATCTGTCTCATTCTTGAGACACGTGTCACGTTTTCTTTTTCTTTTCGCCTCTTATCTTCTATTTTTTTAATGTTCTATTTAAATTTTTGCAGAAAACATTTTGAAGGATGATTAAACTCTCAAGTTCCATGTTTCAATGCCTAAATTTGATAAGAGTTTCCAGTTGCCAGTTATTGCAATAATTCAGAGGATGTAAAACGGCTGAGTGACGATAATCGTACGTATCATCATTACATAACAAAGATAACAAAGTAAGCAAAAAATGCACACTCAAAGATCCTCTCCATCAACTGCGAATATCGTTCGAAAGTACTTCGAACTGTATCTCTCTACCGCTGCGTTATACTACTTTCAAGATATAAATATACGCTCTAGCGCTTGCAAATAGATACTGCGTTACACGCAGCATAATACCTCTATCGTCTGCCTTTCTAAAGTGCCTTACGAACATATTTGCTTGTACAAATAATGCTAAATCATGAACGAAGAAAAATACCAATAAAAAAGACTTTTTTCAGTATATTTGACAATTGTTTTAATTCTTTCGATTGAGAATTACTCTCTATTGGATCTTTTTGACGAATTTCTAGTTAACTTTAATGATAGATTCTTCTCCAAAATTTCGAATCGACCTTTCCTCAGTGCCCTATACAAGCGCGCGAAAGATATCTAGAATGTATAGAGCATGCGGAATATCTAATTAGGACAGATTCATATATATTAACTAAATTGACTATTCAAACTCGCTTATATATGACATAGCGCTGTACACACCGCTCTACACATAATTTGCGATTCTTCCCAAGCGTGTACCGCCACGCGCGCTTCTTCAAGGATCGGATTACGTCAATCCGAACATCGCGGTAAGGGAAGTATAATAATAGTGCACGAGCTTAATGATAGCAATTAGATAATACTTCGATTAAACACACATATCGTTAGGGGCAACACCGCAACCGACTTCGCAATCGCGCATTGCGGCAAATTTTTGTCTCTGTCTTGATACATGCGAAAAACAAAGAAAAGAATTCCTCGATCAAAGTTCGCATGCGGGGAAAAAAAAGAAGCGATGTGGGATCCGCTTTACAAGTCGCGTGTCATTTCTCCCACGGCGGAATCGCGGTCGTTAAAGTGGGAGCTTTATTTCGATGAATCACGCATCGATATACGAAGGTAGTTCTTCAAGCTATCGACATACGAAAGTATACCTTTCAATCACGTGGAAATTGCTCCGATCATACTTTCATTCCAAGTATCTGCATTCTTCACTCGATTTTTACACTGTTTGTCATTCTGTTTATTTTTATTCTGAAACTATGTGACTTATGCCTCTGTAAACATCTGTTATATTTAATCCTTCATTCGTTACAAAATTTGTTTTTGATATATTTATGATAATAGTTGCTCTATCAATGTGACTTATGCCTCTGTAAACCTCTGTTATATTTAATCCTTCATTCGTTACAAAATTTGGTTTTGATATCTTTATGATAACAGTTGCTCTATCAATGATTTAATGCTAGGAGAGATAAAAATACAGTTTCTTAAAATTCTTCGAAGTTTTATCTAACTTTTCCATTTTTTTTAAATCTATTTTTATCGTATTTTGGTTTACTATCTGTTTCCTGGCTAATATTTAAGTCTTTATCTAAGTGATATCTACGGTACACAAGAAGTTCAACAAATCTTTCAACGAAAATTGTTCTAATTAAGCAAAAGTGGTCTTATCATGTAATTTGCGATATTTTAATTGCTCGTTATATCATAGAATCGTCATACTCTTAAATTATCATATCTTATCATTGTGTAAAATGCAATATTCTTTTCTCTATTTGTTAGATATGAGTTTCTCAAACTCAAGTGTCTCTCATTAATCCTTCTAGATTTTAAATTGTTAATTATATCGATTGCATCTCGCATTCGAGCACATTCGATAGAATTAGCTAATTGTGTTTTTGCTGAGTCTGTCAATGCATAATACAAAAGTTGATGGTATTTAATTCTGATATACTGCATTCGTTGAACTTGTGACTCTCTTTGCAGCCCGTTCTGCATTGTCCGTCCTCGTTAAATTTCTTTACGGAACGCAGGCCACTCAACTCTTTCTGAGGTCGGAGGTTAATAATTTTTTATTATTTCTATTTTGTGACGATTTCTCTATATCTTTGTGTCTTATCTTCAGACGAAACGCGTAATGGAATATTCAAGAATCTTGAATTCGCGAGAAATATATTACTCATATTACTCATAAATATTACTCATAAAAACTCATATTTTAATCAAGTAATATTAAACAAAATAAAAATCGTGATCATAAATGAATAAAAAGTGTAATAATAAAATTGTGATAATAAAGTAATGATTCATAAAAAGGAAACGTGACAGTGTCTGTAATATGTAATTCATAAAACAAACTCAGTTACCTCTTCAGTATTTTATACTCGCAATATGTATATATTTTGCACGTGTTCGAACATACGTGTATTAAGTTTCCTAACAGAATTGTTTACCGGTAACTAGTAGTAACTCTGCAGCGCAGGAAGAATTCTGAATCGTCATGATCAATAACTGCTGATGCTGCTGCATAATTTTGCGTATCGCAATTCAGATTTCGCACGATTCGCAATACTAATGTATCGCATTCTTGTTTACCATTTTTTTGTTTTATTAGAAGCTCTTATTACACGGAAATACAAATTACACACGGAATTACAAATTTCGTATCGCCTTACCGACTTATGTCTGCAGACATCTCTATATCTCAGTGCTTATTTTCTGCCCCATTTAATAAGTACAAATATTCATGCCCGTCATCGACGAAATTTACTGCTCTTTTAGACATCAGGAGTTAAATGCGCATCATTTATATTATTTGAATTGTTGATTAAAGCAAATTGATAGTCATCGCTGTCTTGAGTTGTTAGTTAATTGATATTACTTAGTCGCATGTGTGTGTTCAATTCTGCGTGTGTTATCTGCAATTTGTTGGTTTTTGCTGATATATATTGTTATGTAATTATGAGTTTAGTGCGTCATTAAAGTTTTATACAAAGTACACATGAACATCGTGCAAAACGTGTTCGACAAAAATCATTTCTAAAATATCAAATCGATAAACATGTTTAATTACACGAAAACATTGTGTTATCACTTTTCCATTAAATTTCCATAAATAGTAGTAGTTGCGCAGTTTTCTTATCAATTTGCACAGCACAATATTATCAGGACTTCCACCTATCACAAGATAAGTAGCTTGTAACAATACAGAAAAAAATAAGACAATCACGTGTACACAGTCGTACAGAGGCTGTACAGAGCTCGGTTTAGATTCTTGCTAATTGTTGAAGCAAAATCTAAGAAATTTACTTGTTGCGTTAAATTAGCGATTATTTTTTGTGACATCTTGCCGCAATCTTTTGGCTATTGATTGCGATATTTGGAGACACGAGTATTTCTCATCCGTGATATCATTTGACACCAATTTTTTCAAATTAAAGATAAACCTGTAGATATCATATATTTATGAAACTATATATATGTAAACTGGAGGGAAAATTAATGATAAAAATTTTAAAACAGATAGAAAATAAAATAATGTATTAAAATAAACACCGTTCTTTCAATTATCGATTCGACTCTTTTTCAAAATTTATAAAATTTGTTCGCTAAAAAATAACATCACGAATATGTAAATCCAAATGATACTAAGCGAAATATGCGCGTTCTTGAATAGAGAAATAAGTTATCTTGAAATGCGCGAAGCATTTACTCGGGTAAGAGTTTGACGTCCATCCGCTTGAAATATCCCAAACCGATGAATGTAGTGCAGCTTAGGAACAAGATCTTCGTGAAATTTTTCTGAGATTCGTCCATAATCGTAATGACGCATGTTATATGTGCCGCTTATTTATATACGTCGATAAAATGTCGTTCCACTCCATCCCGAATGAATGATGCGGTTGTTTGAAGTTGCGTCGTTTTTATTCATAGTCGTTGCATAGTCGTTGTTTATTATCGATAATACGCGCGTCAACAGCGTGTGTGTGTTTTTTTTCCAATATAAATGTGAATGCAGGATGCACAGTCCAATTCATTTTATACAACGAATTTATTTATATATACGTCACAGATGGTATATTCCGCATTAACTAACTCTACAAAATGATCCTCTTCTCCGGTATTTGTCTGCTGCTGAATACGCTACGAATTTTCTGCGTTACAACTGGCACTTCTGAAATATTTGTAATCACTAATCTCAATTGCTAGAGCTGTCTTTGGTGTGTCGGCTTTAGAAAAATACTCAATTTTTGATTCTCTAAGATCTAAGATGCAAGAATGATGCAAGGTTGAGCTGCGAGCATTACAATCGCCTCAGATGCTCTCTCTTTCTCTGTCAAAAATTGATTATTTTTGTGTATATATATATAATATATATAACCACTACTTATTGTTGCCTATTTCTATAAGTGTATGTATATATAATATACGTCGGCAAGCGTCCGGAAAAAACGTAATCGCAAAATACACGTTTGTATCTCTATGAGCATGAATAATGCTGCATTAATAAAGTGATTACATGTGGATTTTTTTTGTCTCTGCGATACGTAATATGCTACTTATTGTTTGTGTACTGACTGTTACATGTGTGTACTTCTTTCTTTTTCCCTTTTTTTTTTGGCCTACACGCTTCCCATTTATGGCTTCTGCGATGTTTCAGCACGTGTGCGAATGTATACGTTATACGGAAGCACGGACTATTATCTACGTTACACGAATTAACTAATTCACTAACGGTAACTTAACTATACCTCCCTAAAGCTACTCAGACTTCTGTTTAACATTTACCTCATATATCTCGCTTATAAGAATAACGTTATAACCGTACTCGTAATATCGATTACGGCGCCTACACCTTATTAATAATTAATACTGCGACGACTAGTCTTGTTTCATGTGACGCGTATGTCTTGTTCATCCTTAAAATTACTACCTAATTTGACACATAATTTTCGTATACAGTCTTAACATTTATGATGATGTTCGTGTTGTGCTAAAAATATGTCACAGACTACAAAACTTTTTTTTCTTTCCACAAATTTTCTTTTTTTTTTGTCCCTTTCTCTCTTTCTCTTTTTTGGTCGATATATATGTTCCGTATAAAGCTCCCTGTGGAGTATCCTCTTGATCGCTGTGAGTAAAATAACGTGTCTTTCTTTAGAATCTTTGTCACTGTTTGAATAATGCTACAATCATTGTATAATCTACGCTCGTAGAATAATATCCCTATCATATATCTGTAAGTTGTAAAATTTCATAACCAGTATAAAACGATCAGTACCAAACAATTATCACAGAGTCCGTTAAGATTAATGTCATATATGTATAGAATACATAGCTAGAGTTTTACAATATATTTTTTTGCTACGTATAAATATTTTTTTTATAAAAATAAAGTAGAAATCATAGGTATACTATTACTTATTATTCTGATCTCACTTTAATAATATCAGGAAGATATTAAAAATGAAGACATATGCATAAATTGGCAGTGTGGACACATTTTTATCACAAAAATAAATTATATTAACATGTAACAAAATAAAATCTCTATTAATTTTAGCTATGTCTGATTTTAAATAATTCCTACATTAGATTTCTAGAAACATTTAACAATTATTATTACCTATTATTGAAGCATTGCATATAAATTGCATTAATATGTTTAAAAAATAAGATTAGAAATATCAATACCTAAATATCTGGCTATGAAATTTCAAACTTACTCTTTCTGCTATTTACGCACAGTAAGCTTCACCGCTAAGTTTACTAACAACGATGGAAGTTTACCAACACCTTAGATTAACAAACATCCCTATCGGACAGTAGAAAGACACACGTATCCAATAAATAACTAACAAAGTATATAATACCAACAATAACGTACTTAATATTAAATGTATGTAAATAAGTTAAGAACAGTAAAGCATACAAATCCCGTTTTTCGTACGTTTAGCACCGTTACTTTCTGGAAATAAAGTTTACGTTTTCACGACAAATACTAATATACGATTAATATAAGATCACCTTGACAGAACATTTATCCGAGATTCTCTTAAGACCAATCTTCGTACTGACTGCCCATGGTTCATCTCATTAAATCCGCCGCTCTTTGCCGGTCCCGATAGACCTCCCGGGGATGCATTCTTTTACGATGCGAAAAACAATTACCGGAGCTTGCGAAAGCTTTCGGACAGTAAGGACACTGATAAGGCCTCGCACCCGTGTGCTGATTTATGTGGAATTTCAGATCTTGATTTCGCTTGAACGTTTTGTCACAAAGCGGGCATGCGTGCGGTCTCAAGTCTGAATGCGTGATACTGTGGGCGCGCAACGTCGAATTCGTTGGATACACTCTCCCGCAGACGTTACACGGAAACTGTATGCCGCCGTGATATTCCTTGTGTCTGAATAGATTCGATTGTGTTTTGAAACTGTAAGAAATTAAGTTTCATTTAATACTTAAAAATATTTGGACGATTTAATAGCGATTAATATATTGTACAATTAAAAAAACAACTTATAATGTCAACATATTAAATATAAAAATTAAAATTAATTATTTTATAAGAATTTAATTATAAGCTTAACTTTATTTACTATTAATATTTTAATTAATTTTCTTGCAAAATATTTAAGTATGAAATTATGATTTGTATGGATACAAACGTACATTCTTCCACATATGTCGCAGCCGTACTTTCCTTTAGGCCTGTGGGTCTCTAAATGCACTTTCAAATTTCCCTTCGTAGAAATCTTTTTAGTGCAGATTGGACAGACGAAATTGGACGAATTATCACTGCTCGTGTGAAGTACACCGTTCGTGGAATAAACGTGTTGAGATCGTAAAATAGGCTTTCCGAATTTTCTCTCTCTGGGTAAATGCGACCACAAGTGATTTTGCAAACCGATTTGCGATATAAAAGCTCGGGTACATATTGTACATTTGTGTGGTTTCACTATTGAATCGGACACGCTTTTCTTACTATCCTCAGACGCTTTTGTCTCGCTTTCGTCGTTCTTCTCTTCTTCTTCTTCTTCTTCTTCCTCGTCTTCTGCTTCAATACTTCTGAACGAGACATTTATGTTAAGTAAACTGACTCAATTATAGAATTTTTTTTTCAAACAATCAATAGCTTTGATTCTCTAACATTAAAAAGAACCTACTTGTTTATTAAAGGTAGCGGCTCCGGTGAATGTGTTTTTATTACGTCTTCCTCGTTGTCTGAAAAATCCGAAGCTTCCGACGCAGATTGTTCCATACCGCATTGTAAAAATAGCATTGGATCCACTTTCACCTCCATTTCCTCCATGCTTGGGGTATGACGTTTGTCCTCTTGGGAATTTGACTCCGCTGGTCCCAGTGGTTCGTCGTCAGTCAAAATTTCTATTGCACCCTGCAGAGTACAACGATAATGAATTATACGTCGCGCATAAAAATATGCGTGATATATACAGATACAATCTGTAACGCCTTACCTTTGTCAATATTGAATGTAATAGCCCTCGGTCTTCCGTTTTCTTTGCAATTTCTTGCGTATCTTTAATACTTTGCATTTCGTCATCTTGTACAGAATTCGTATTGTCAATGTTAACATATGGCTGTAATCTCAATTTTTCTTGGGCGCGGTATGCCATCATTGCAAAACGATGAACACCTTCCAGTCTCTTAATACATATGGAACACACCATTTTTGAATATTTATCCTCAGATAAGACCTGAAATATTAAAAAAAGAATATGTAAAGAGTTCTAAAAAAATACATTGCATATATTTTTAAAATATAAATAAAGAACGATTATTCCGCACAAAAGAACGATTATTAGGCAATTATTATCTTAATGTATTGTATATTTGCATGATTTATATTCTACACGTTTATCTAAAAATTCTTATAATTTTTATTTATTTAATAAAAAAAAAAATCTAGCATTAAAGAACCAAATTACCATTTTTAGATATTAATAATGTATAATTGGTGTCAATTGCAGAATTAATAGAAATATTATTTTATTGTAATCATTATTATTTTAATTATCTCTTGTTTTTCGTTGTTATGGTCATTATTTCTCTTATTTGCACAATATGTCGTAATTCTTTGTGATTTCGTTCAATTAACCTAGCTTTCGGTCCGACACAAGCGCCAATAATTTCGCCGATTGAAAGGGCTGGGCGTTTATCTAAAAAACAAACCGCCGTATTTTTCACACAATACATTTGATTGACGCATCCTCCATAATTTATTCCGCCCGACGTCATTTTCCAATGCCGCTCCCCCCGCGCGACAGCCCTCATTTCCGATTATATTTATAGCTGTAGTACTTATATAGCACATACAGAGCACGGTATACTTATTGCAATCAATAAAATGCTAATTTTTAACACTTTTGCAGCTCCGCACAAAATGGTCGTGCCCGACGATCATATCCCGCACGTATCATCACTCATGCTCGCCGCTGCTATCCGATGTGTGAGAAACTCGCGCGTTGACATTTCTCGACTTATTAGAATCCTGTGTAATTAATTTTCGGCCGGAGCTTTTTGCGAGACGTAACAACGTTACTGCGCTTAAGCGTCCAGATCCCGAAAATGTCGCCGTTATATTTAGACGAACAAGCTGATTTATATTCACGACTCACAAACAAACATCGTTATTCGCGTAAAGCAAGATTAATTACGATCAACTCAAAATTAATCGGCTTCATCTCCGATTTATCGCAAATGTTCGTAATTCCGCACCCGCGTAGATATTTTAACTGCAGGAAAATTTATCACGATAGCGAAATGACGGAAATAATTTTTTTGCGAGGGATATTTTGCACCATCGAGAAATCGGCACACGAAAAATGCGCGCAATAACGATTTTCTATCGCAATCATGAATATTATCCAAGTATTTTCCAACCGATTTCACTCACAATATCGTCCGATCGTCCGAGATCGGCGATCGCTCTTCATTCACTTCCACTTCCGATCGGCGAGCGGCGCGATGCGAATTTCGAAATTCGGCGGAAATTTGTTGCGACCGGCACGTGATCGCGGCACACGCACACGCCGCGTAGAGGAAGGACGAATTTTGAAAGCAAAAAGCAAAAAAGAAAAAAGAACCAAAGAGGGGGAGCAGCGAAAAAAAGGCGCGGAAACGCGCTTGCGACTCACCAGGATGTACAGATATTTGCGTATCTTGGTCTGCAGGTAGTGACGCCGGCCGTCCTCGGCGAAAATGTTCATCCCGTCGTCGTCGACGATGTCGGCCGCACAAATCCGGCACTGCGACAAAGACCGGTCCGCTTGCCGATCGCGCTGCTGCTGCTGGAGATCGCGTGCCGCTGTGCCCATTTCAAAAATGCGAGAGAACAGACGGGTTGAAATCGGATGAGAATCGGGCGGGAAGAACGAGGCGAGGAGAGGAGCGATAAAAAAAGGAGTAGCGTGCCAGGAATAATGAGTTTTTCCTCCTGTTCCACGGCTGGAAGACTTTTTCTTTTCCGTGATCTTCCGCGGAGAGAAAGAGAAAGAGAGAGATGCGAATAATAACGATAAGCACGCACGCGGACTTCACGCGACGTTGGCGACCTTTTCTTTTTTTCTCATTCTACGCCAGACGACGGCCAGGACGCACCGAAACGCCCCGCGACGCGATCGCTTTCATATACCCGGACGACGACGTAGCAGCATCCTCGGCCGCGAGGATGCGACGGAGCGGTGCGCGGACCGAGAAGAAGCGCGTGTGCCTGCCCGGCGGCGGCCCGAAAAACGTGCGAGTGAAACGAGCGCGTACGAACGAGCGACGGCTTGATTATTCTATAACGATTTTCCCTCTTTTTTTGTTCCGCCGTATACTTTATGAGTGGAGTCGCGGATTGGGCGAGATTATAAGCCGCGCGGCACGGCGCGACGCGACGCGACGACGTCGGTGCCCGCCGTGTGCTCTTTATAAAAACAGACGCACGGCTCTCCGCGGACGTAGTCGTCGGGCGTCGGCGTGCAGTCCGTCCGTCCGTCTCCCCCCGAGTGCCGAGTGCTCAATACAAAATATATAATAGCATTCGTCGATTTGAAAAACATATGTATATAACCAATTGTTTTATTTATGGATTCCGCCGGCGCTTTGCGACGCGGCGCGGCGCGCGGCGCGCCCCGCGGCCACCGCGTGCGCGTGTGTATGTATTTATTCCACGATAGTCGGCGCGCGAACGCAACGGACGATCTCCGCCGCCGCTGTCGTAGCGGGCGCTCCACGAAAATCGCATATTACATCAATGCAACGACGACGATGACGACGGCGACGCGCGACCATGCGGTAGAATAAAACGCGCATCCGCGCGCGGCACTCTTAATTGGTTCGCCATCTTGGCCGGCGCCGCGACAAGCCGCCAATTTTTTTCGTCTTTATCGTTATTTCGCATTCGCGTATCGCGCCACAAAACCGCTCGTCCGCGCTGCCGATTGTTCTCTCGTTGATGTCGCGACTTCCGTTCATGCACGACGTACGTTTTGCCGCTCACGAGTGCACCGACACTCGAAATAACCGCCTCGCGATCCCACGCTTTTCCCGCCATTTCTCGCGGCGCCGGGTGTTACTACGCGCGCGCACGCCTCGCGTTTTTGTGCGCCGCGCGGAAAATAGTCCGCGGATACTTGTCGCGAACGAGCAGCCTCCCCCTGCGGGGGGAGCGGAGACGCGGCGCTACGCTCCACGTCCCCATTTAAAAAAATCAATACTTAATAATTAGCAATTAATACGCGCGTCGAGTGTATGTGTGTGCGTGTGTCCGCCGATTACCGTCCTCCGTCTCTTCCGCATCCCTCGCCCCGCCGGCTTTTAATCACGTCGCATTCGTATACATAATGACGCGATCATTATTTCGTTAATTATTCGTATCGACGTTTATTATTCTCCCTTTTTGTCCTGGCGGCGAGACTGTGTCCGCCAGTTCGACAACATATGACAATAGAAAAAGAAATTTCTGCGAGACAAATGGGTGGAGTTAAACTAAAAAAAATGTAATTAATATAAGTGATGCAAATTATACAATCATGATTGACAATTAATAAATGTTTTCAATCGGCTGATAATGCTCGGTTATGCATCTTGTCTCATTTTTCTAACACTGTAATTGTAATAATTATTACAAAACGTAATAAATTGAATTAATTTGTAATAAAGCGATTAGAATAATTTTTTTTCATCATTAATGCAATTATGAAAAACAGTACTAAATAATTAGCTAGCTGATTAGCAGATTTAATTAAGAAAATTATATTTGTAGAAATTTAGGAAAATTAGAAAATGCATCTCATTAATGCTGCATTTCTTATTAATTACTATAATTGTTGCTGTTATGAAATATTATTACAAATACAATTGAATACAATTTTTATTAATGAACGGACATCTGTTTATCCAAAAGATAACTATTACATTGCCGCTTCCGACAATTTTCTGATAAAGAATGCACAGGAAACAAATGCAGATAAGACAAAAACATAACCTATAAAAAATGTTTCCAGAATAATTAAAAAATCATGGAAATAATTACCAAATTTCTATCATTCTTTACATACGCTTTTCATTGTAAGAAGAAAGAAAAATTACGTTGAAACTTTTAATGTACTTTGCGATATTGTTTAAAGAAGCTGTTCTGATACTTCTATATCTTTTGCCTTCCAACACAAGTTTTACACTGCACAGCAAGTTTCCAGCTAGAGAAAAATGCCTAACAATGAACTCTGTGGATATGTATCATTGTTGTACAGTATTGCAGACAAACCACTAGAACTGTGGTCGAAGTATGTCTCCTTGGGTGGTAAGATCCGTAGAGTGAAGGACAATGCATTGCATGGGGATAAAATAATAGAGATTACAGGACCATATGACAGCACAATCCCTACAAACATAACTATTCCTGCTAAAGCATTAGATATTTTGAATATAAAACTTCCCATTCTCGTATTCATAATAAAGAATTTAAACTTGGAATTAAAGCTAGAAGTTCAGGTATACAATGTTTTATGAATTTTATAAAAGATAACTGCATTTTTTTTAATACTTAATAAAAATCTCTTATCTCACACACACAAAGATAATAGATAAAAAACAGCATCGCAGAAGATTCTCTTTTATGACTTACAATCTTGAAAAACTACCACGCATTGATACAAGCTTGGCTCGTATTCCATTAAAAATTAGAAGAATGTTGGAACACCTTGGAAATAAATCTTCAGACACTTTGTTGCGAAGTGTATGGAACAGATTACGAGGCTCTGCAAAGAATAATAGTTTATCCAAACTGTCATCTGAGGAGAATATATTTGCAAGACCGTCATTATAATTATGATGAAACTCCTATCCAGATGTGCCAAGCATTTTTTGACATGTACCTGTTAAAGCGGGGAATTAATTTTACAGAAAGGGCCTGTCAAACGGAACAACATTACACAGGTTTTACACGTTCTAAGAAAAATGTGAGATGTATAAATTAATGTATGTTAATTTCTTATTTGACTTCCAGGATTGTTAGAGCAATCTGAATTGAACTGTTTAGCAAAAGATAATTCAGTTAGTGCACCGTCAACAAAAATTAAGTTATTTAAAAGTGTACACACACACAGTACAGAAAAATTGAAAAATTTAAATTTACTTGACACTACAATAAAAAAAAGTAATGTCCATTTTACGAATGCAAAATCTCGAATATCTGCCGCTAGTTTCCAATCTGCTTCTAAAAATGAAGTATCTGAAAATATGAAGTTTGCTAAAAAAAGCAATACCTTTGACACTCTAAATATCTCTGAAATACGTATGTTTAAAGATAGATATATAAAAAAGCATGAAAAAAATGTTGTTAATTATTCAAGATCTCCGATTAATGTCGGGGCAAGAACTGAAAATATATCTGAACGTATTCCACTTCTGGTCGAGGAAGTGAAGTTAAATGAAGTAAAATCGCGAAGTACATATTTAACAACAGACACGGCTGTATTTGATTTTATAACTGCATGCCGTTCAGTAAACAGAAAACTACTTGAAAAATTGCGCAACAAAGGTCTCACAATGCCGCGAATAGAATTGTTGGTATATAATATGAAAAATCAAAGAAATTCTTATGGCCACAAAAAATTTATAGAGAAGCAAAGATGGTGCATAGACAAATCTATTGGTTTGCAACAAGTTTAACTGTTAGTGCTGTAAAATTGGTAAATTGCCTGAAAAAAATATAATAAATATATTATCGAAAAAATATATATAAAAATAAAAATATATTTCTATCTTTAAAAACCTATATAACTGTTATGTATAATGTAAATAAATAATTCCCTTAACTAATGCATAAACATGTAACATCTACAGCTTACTAAGTAAAAAATTTTGAAGAAATATACATTTTGAAAAGTAATATTTTCTATTGTTTTACAGTGAATATATATTACATATAATTTTTCGGACAAAATGTCGATTAAAGGCATGTTATCAATATGTAAAATTACGTTTTACGTTGCAAAAGTGATTTAAACTATTCTTCAGTACTTAATTACAATATTTTTTATAGAAAGTGCATGTCTTTTTTACTAAATTTACTAATTTTTAACATTTTGCCTTGTTTTGAATGGGCAGGAATAATTTGAACTCTGCTGGCAACTCGTCCTCAGAATACAATCGATCTGAAAAGTAGACTCGCCGTATCCTGCAATTAGCGTGGATTTGGACTCTCAATGTTTCTACATAATTCGTTCCATAGGCCCGGCGGGTGAAGTCAGCTAAATTAAACTGTATCTGATTCCATCCATCATCCAGTCTCATTGGCATAGTACAGATAAATGGTTTCACCCTTGTGGTGGACTGATAATTGCTGGCGCGAAATCGGCGACGTACATTTTTGTCATCGATTATCTGTGACATGTAAATAATTTTTGTTTTATTTTTAATACTTTTATAAAAAAAGATCAATTTATAAATAAATTTTTAATTTCTTATAATTATAAATAATAATTAATAATGAATAATTTCTTATAAATTATTCAGTATATATATGTATAAAGACTCACCTGAACTTCAAATGTGAAGTATTTCTTTAGATTCTTGATAATCATCACCAAAAAAGGCAACTTTATACCTAAGGTCTTCCTTGGATCTGCAGGACATGTGATATACGTTGTGCTAACATTGCTGCCTAATATTTCCAGGACGAGACTCTGAATGTCATTGTCGGTGATCCTCTTGATATGTCCATTCCTCACCTTTTTATCCCAGATTTGCAGTGGCTTGCTGCCAATGCTGTAAAGAATGGATAAGAATCCGCTTTGAAAAGTGTTCTTGAACATTTTGAAGTTCTTTGAAGATTACACTGCTTTGACAATTTTCCTTGATATCTTGAGATAAAGCTTTTCTTCTATTTTCTTGTCAAATCTGTAATACATATTTGTATGACAAATTATGATTAATTCAATGATTCTTTGATGTATGCAAAACAAAAGCTAACCTTCTTTCATCTTAAAAAGGATCAAGTTGAAAATTACAAACGACGGTTCGGAAAATTCATATTTATACCTGAGATAATAAATTGCCGCTTTTTATTTGTTGAACTCCATTTTATTTTAATCTATCACTTTACGAGATATTATTTTACAAAATATTTAGCGCCGAATCTAACCTACAATCCAATGTTTGGTCGATAGATACTTGAAAAAACATCGATTATTTTATCGATGTTTGTAGATTCGTTTAATCCCTAGGTCGATAGTTTTTTTATCCGATGTTACTAACATTTAATTACTAGTGGCGTTTTTCATTGAATGGATTTTGATTCATTGCGGACCAATTAATAACTATTTTACTATAAATTCAAATCTTTTATTGGTGGAGACAAAGCAATGGCGTCAACTCTGGTCAATCAAAATCCTTTCAATCGAAAGCGCTATAAATTTCTTCTGGTCATCGCATATTTTTAATATATATTTAAATAATTTAATAAAAGAATTATTAAAAACATTTTAATGCAATATTTATTAAGTAAAATAAATGTATTTATCAATAAATATACTATATTTTATAATAAATATTTTATTTTACAATTAGAAAGTAAGTACATTTAATTACAAGTAACTAGTATATGTATTTGTACAAATATACATATACATATACATTAATACTTCCACCAGCCACACAAATCTGTGAAAATAAATATCCATGAAATTTGTTATTAATCTAACATTGCATAAAACAAGATAATAAATTAATACAAGCTATCATTTTACTTATTGAAATCTGTAAGCAAATATTAAAATATAATTACAATTATTATAACTATTTTAAGTACAAATTGTTTAAAATACTGTTAAAAATATTAAAAATTAAATAATTTATTAGAAAATCTAATTAAAAATTCATTAATTAGCAATTATCAGCATTCACTATTTTTTTGTAACTTTACTTGCACTTCACTTTTACTGTACATACAACACTATTATTAATCACTTTGTTTCTTTAACTCTGCACTCAAATTTCTTGCTAATAATAATAATAAGATACACGCAAATATTTAAACGGTTATTTAAATGTTGAAAGAGAGAAAGTAAGAGAGAGAGAGAGAGAGAGAAAGTAGAAAGAAAAAGTGAGAGAAAAGTTCAGATGGCGGTACTGGATTTACTGTCTGCTTCGCGTATGCGCATTTTATTTTGGGCTTCAAAAAATTTCAGATTGCGCTACTGTATATACTATGTATGTGTATGGAGAACATTGACGTCATTGACCGCGCAGTTTGCACGCGGGACAGTGGGTTTTGTGTGTTCTGCAGCGTGTGCTCTACGTACTTGTTGGTACTGGTACGTGCATATACGCATCTGACGTTACGCTTACTTACGACGTAGTAGCCTGGTCCCAGACATACTCGTCGTCGATTAAAAGTGACAAGTTCGAACTAACGAAATCGACGAAATATGGCAGCGAAGATGCAACATCCATTCGAACCACCTAGCTCGGCGAGTTCTGAAAGGTAAGCACGTTTCAACGTTTTCCGAAAATAAAGATAAATAAATATTTTATTGTGAAAACATACGGTTATAGTGACGACGGCGACGTATGTCTGGATGATCGCGAGATTTTCCTCGCCGATGAGTTGTGTGAGGATGCCGAACACTACAGGCGCTCCGACGTAAATACGCCGACACCGCAATCACCAAGGCCACCGTCCACAGGTAAATTCATTTATTATCACTTTTACAGCTTCAATTTAGTTTTACCTGTTCCCAGAAGTAACTCCGTATCATGACATGTATACACAATCTGATACCTCATATAGAAATCTTATTTATATTACTAAAATTTTGTACGATAAGATTATTTTTTAATTAATGTTTATCAAAATTGTTTGTATATATTTACTAGAACATAAAGTTCATTGAGTATGATTGATAACAAAATAATTCTCTGTTTAAATCAGTATCCATTAATGAGTCATTAATGAGTCATTTGATATAGAATCAATACATCTTATCATTAATGAATGAAATCATTTTAATAAGATAAACATGAGCCTGATACATCAAATATTAATATACTATACTTCTCAAGTCCCACATAGAGGCATTACTTGCAGAGTGGTTCCATGAAGTTGCACGTGAAGATGCAAACAATCCATTGCCTTAAGTTCCTTAATGAAGACAGCCAATACAAAAAGTATAAATAATCTCCCTTACCTTCAATCCTGATCCTTTTTACTTATTGAATCCTTTGTAAGTTATATAAAATAGAAATCAATTTATCCCGGTAAGCAAAGTGTTGCAATGCTGTTATTCTGTCAACATTGCTAACATTTGACTTTCTTGAAATATAGGAGTGTATTAATATCTTACAAATAAATATTGATTATATAAACATGACAAGGGAACAAATATTGTTATTTGTGACAGGTTCACAGAAATCTCCGAGATCACGTCGGCAACGCACTACCAGCATGTCACAATCGAGCAAGAAAACATCTGCGGAATCTATTCTCAGGAGCAAAACAAGGACTATTTATACAGCTGGTAGACCACCTTGGTACAATTCGGCTGGTCAACAAGTAGAACCTTTTGTAATTGGTCAGTAGTATTTATTGTTAATCAAACTAGATGTTCTTTTTATTTTTTAACTTAACAAATTATATGAACTATGAAATAAAAATTTTGACATCATTGAATAATATTCTTACAGGTATTTGCGGAGGCAGTGCATCTGGGAAAACGACAGTTGCAACCAAAATCATCGAATCTCTAGATGTACCATGGGTGACCCTTCTTAGTATGGACTCTTTTTATAAAGTACGTTAAATACTTTAATCTACAGATTATTTGACAAGAAATATCTTGTTGAATTTAGCATGTTTGTCGCTAATTTGATTAATCTACAGACATTGTCACTTATAGGTGTTAAATGAAAAGCAGCATGAAATGGCTGCGCACAATGAGTACAACTTCGATCATCCCGATGCGTTCGATTTCGAGCTTCTGAAAACTACGTTGCAGCGTTTGAAGGAATGCCGAATGGTAGAAGTTCCTATTTACAATTTTGTAACACATCGTAGAGAAAGTAGAACAGTAAGTAAATGTACTCCTTGTGCGTAAAAAAAAAATCAACTCGATGCTGTAATAATATTGTACAGTTCTTTCTTCCTTTGTTTGGAAGAAGACCATGTATGGTGCCAACGTCATTATCTTCGAAGGAATACTTACCTTTTACAATGTTGACGTACTGAAAGTAAGAGAAAAAATTAGTCTAAAATTATTACAATGATACAAAAGGCTGAAAATATTAACGTGTTTTTTTTTTCAAGTTGTGCGATATGAAAGTTTTCGTTGACACCGATGCGGACGTCAGGCTGGCTAGACGCTTACGAAGGGATATTTCACAAAGAGGCAGAGATCTGGAAGGTGTGTTGAAACAATACAGTAAACATGTGCAACCTGCTTTTTATTATTATATAGCACCTCTGATGGCTCACGCTGACATTATTGTGCCGCGTGGAGGGGACAACGAAGTCGCGATAGAGCTCATCGTGCAACACATTCATACTCAACTTCAGTTGGTAAATCGCCAGTTTTTATTCTTTATTTTAATGCCGAATTATCTCATCGGTGTTATGTTGACTTTTATACCGTTTTTAGAGAGGTTTTAAGCTGAGGGAGAAACTGGCGCACTCGTACATCGGTCAACCTTTACCTTCGTCATTGTACTTACTTCCGGATACGCCGCAGATAAAAGGTCTTCACACGTTTATACGCAACAAAGAAACATATAGAGACGAGTTTATTTTTTATTCCAAGCGATTAATTCGCTTGGTAATCGAATATGCATTGTCTCTATTACCCTTTGAGGTGAGTTTAGCGTCGCACGAATATTTTATACCGCTTATCGTCTTTGATTATTCAGATTATATTATGCATTCACGTTTATCACTGATAAGTAGTCCATCGTTTATGTATATCTACGCAGAAAAATTGATATCTCACAGTGTGTTATTTCTATGTGAAGGATGTTACTGTCGAAACGCCACAAGGAGTGTTGTATGGCGGCAAGCGTGGGGCGACAGATAAGATTTGCGGCGTGTCAATATTGCGCGCTGGCGAAACCATGGAGCAAGCTGTTCGGGATGTGTGCAAGGACATACGCATAGGGAAAATTCTTATCCAAACTAATCAACAGACTGGCGAGCCCGAAGTAAGCTCGTAAACCTTGTCACACCATCCGAAATCAATTACAAATCGATAATGTGTGCAATTTCTTGTGCGCAGTTGTACTACCTCCGATTACCAAAGGATATTAAGGACTACAGAGTAATATTGATGGATGCCACTGTTGCGACCGGCGCTGCTGCTATCATGGCGATTAGGGTGCTCCTTGATCACGACGTCGCCGAGGAGAATGTGTTGCTGGCATCCCTGCTAATGGCGGAATCCGGCGTGCATTCGATCGCGTACGCTTTTCCGCGGGTGAAGATCGTCACCTCCGCGTTGGATCCCGAAATAAACGAGAAGTTTTACGTATTGCCCGGCATAGGCAACTTTGGCGATAGATACTTTGGCACCGAGCCGTCTGACGATTAAAGCAGCTCATAGATCTCTTTAAAGTACTTATCCGCTGCGTTGTATAAATTTGTGATAAAGATAATCTATCATATATATTTAATAATAAAAAGTGTGTTACGTTAACATCTCTTATTACAGTTTTATCTTGCAGAGTTCATTGCTTTTAAATGTAGACGACGTTATTTTCTCGCTATTGTCACTTTTGCTTGCTGTTTTTTTTTTTTTTTTCCGTAAGTGTCAATTTACTTAAAGAGGCGTTGTGCCAACGCCGCCGGTTTCCGCGACATCAGCGGCGGTGCCACGTAGCTGCCTGTATCCGCGGGAGCTAGCTCGACGCGAGCGTCTCCATGAATCCAAATTGCCACCGGGATTGTTCGGCTGGCTCAGGAGGTACGTTATTAATCGGTCCAGCGCGGCCAAGTCCTCGCTCGTATTGCCAAGATTCAAGCCGTTGTGCGATCGTAGATCTACGCTTTCCTCGGCGTTTTCCTTTGCGTTGCTTCTACTTGCGGTTCCGCGGCCATGGAGACCAAACCGAGATTCAATCTGTAATGTATTTGTATATTTATTATATATTGTTTAGCAATAAATTACATAAGATTGTTACTAGACACTTTGTGTTGGATGATGCAAAACAGATTGAGGTACCTCTTCCGATCCATGCTGTCCGTAGCTGAGTCTCTGCACCTTTCGGAAAGTCTCGTCGTTTATCGCTTCTCTGACCGCCTCGTTCAGCGTGCGCTCCAGCGCCCGTTGCTTGATCTTACTCAGTCCTTCGTAATAACTAACGGAACGAATATAGATTGATTTTTTTCTTATTTATTTTGATGCTTACGAGATATGCACATAAGCGTAAGTGTGCTTACGTGCAGTTTACGTTTGCGGCTTTTTTTTGTCTTACCTTGAATCGAGGGAGCTGTTGTCTCTGGAGATATTCCTATCGCGAACCAGACGGATGTCGTGCTCCCAGAAGCGGCGCAGTTCCGGCGTGGACGTGTACGGCGCGGCCACTTCTTTAATCTGCGTTTATATCGGATGATCAAGCGAAACGTGTTATTATTCATTAAAAATCGATGAGTCACGAGTCGCATCGTATCGCTATTTACATAACTCGCAATTACGAAATTGCGAAATGCATATCGTTAGTGGTGTAATGATTCGCGGCGCGAAAACGGGCGGATCCGCGGCCGCGATTCGCGATCGTTACTTACATTTACGCGAGTTATATCGCGCGCTAACTTTAATTACCTTCAGAACTATTATCGCCGTAATAAAGATGCACATTACGTTGATGAACGTCAGGCATGCGCTGATGATGCCGTTGCAGAAGAATTCCACGGGCAAGTAATCGCTGTAGATGTACGTGTACGAGCTGTTGAAATCCGTGTAAGACTCGCCCTTGATGTGGGGCATTTTTATAGGCCGGTATATAAGCCATATGCATCCCAGAGCCCAGAATAAACCCTGCGAAGAATCGACGAGGTGACCTCTCTCTCTCTCTCTCTCCGCAATTACGGCGAACATCTTTACGACCGGCACGATTCCAATTATTATATCGCAGGCTTTACTTCTCCCGCGCTACTGTTGACTTACGCAATTAACAACCGGCGGCAATAATGAGGCAGATATAGCGACGCCAATTAGCGGTCCATTGCTGCCTTGCAGCAAGGCGACCGCGACTCCTGTGCCAGACGGAAGGGCCCAAAGAACGCCCATCCAGAGCGATCTGTAATTGCCTCTGTAGAAAAAAAATACCGAATTAAAATTTACAATTATATCTGATTGTGTAATAAAATGCGACGTGTGATTTATTGTGCTATGAGCACGTCCGATACACACCTGCCCTTCATCTCGTCGGTCGGCCAGTCGTTGTAGCCCCAAGGCATCGCGGTCGTGCCGAGGATGAGGCCGAATATGAAGCCGAAAAGTATCGACAGGAAAATACCGAGCATCAAACTCTTCAGGCCGACCAGCTGCAGATCTCTATCGGCTATGATCGTTCCGAAGGTCAGAGACATCACCGGTCCCTTCGGTCAAAGTTTCAGACGGTCAGAAGTGAATGTGTATTGATGTTTGATGATCAATAATGTTGTTAATGAAGGATTTTACCATGAGAGGAGATACTAGCATAGCCGCGACTACGTTCGTTGCACTGTTCTCGACGAGACCGAGCGCAGCGAGGCAGCTGTAAGTTTGTCATTTTTGCAAGGTTGTTATAATTTATCTATTGTTTTTATTTAATTATTCGATGAATATTGTAATAGCGTTAATAAATAAGATCTAACGAGAAAATAAATATCGTAAAAAATATTCATGAAATTGCTTTAAAATGATTTTAAATGATTTTACTTTGAATGAGTGGAAACCGCCTTTTATCTTTGCTTCGGTTAATTATTTATCTAGAAATAATATACAAGCTTTTGGTTTCATACTCTGCGGTCAGTACGAGTAGCACATAATCGAACGTAAGATCGCCGCCGCCGCGAACACCATCGACCACCTGTTTCACCGTCAATTTCGATCGGATGGATTCTACGAAACCGTTCCAGGCATTTTTACGATCTTCCGACTCCTTCCGTCTAAAACGGCAGAAAGCGTATTTAGATATAATATTATTCAGAAAAAACTTTATTACAAATTAATCAATTAGAAAAACCTGCGAGCAGCGTCATTTTTGATAGCCGACAATCCTGCAGCGCTCACACCGCTGTACGTACATTGCGTCGGGATTACGCTAAAAAAATCAATATTAAAGCAACATTATAGTTCGAAATACATTGAAACTCATGCGACTTTCTCGATTCAGCATAAAATCACCTTACTATCGAGTTCATTTTAACGCCGATACCCATTTCGGTGAGGCAGTGTATGCAATTTTCGCAGGGCTCGCCGGCGGGCACCGGAAATATCACCTACCAACAGAAAGTTTCGTTTGGCAATATGCAAATAGAAGGAAATATATTCGCAATTCTCTTTTTACCTCGTAATACATGTCCTCTTTATCCTTGCACCATACGACGTGCTCTACTTTCAGCTTTTTGAGAAGTTCTTCGAGCACCTGCGAGAGTCAACAACAAACCGTATAATTTGATCATTAAATTAATTCTATTTAATTAAAAAAAATATCTGCAATGAGGTTTTATCTCCGTTTTTTTCACTAAGTTTATTAAAAAAGATTGCTTAATAAAGTTTTAATAAACGTATATGTATATGATTGATTCACGCATGGCATCCAACTAATTTTTTCAAATTTTTAATAATTAAAAAATTCACTGATTTTGTTTTCAATATAATAAAACTTTATAATTAATAATTAAAATTGTAATACGATGTTTTTGATTTCTATTTTACCGTTTCCATTGATATGAAGACCGGCGTCTTCGATCGCGCGGGATATCCGCGAGAATGCTTCCTGTCGATGCCGATATCGACGCCCACCTCATCGTCGTCCGCGTCCTCGTGATCGTCGTCGATCATGAGCAATTGCGTGCGCGTTTTCGCTTCCTTCAGCCGCAGATCCACTTTCGGCGCCATCGCTGTCTTATTTTTGCTCTTCTCAATCTTCTTGGGGCGCTTGAGCGGCATCCCAAACACAAGCTCGTGCTCATAGCTGAGGGTGGGAATGCAAACCAGGAATACAACACCCCCGGGCATGTTTGTTCCGTAATCGATAAGCGCGTTGCGCGAGGATCATTTACGATCGGTGTATCGTGTGATCGCCAAGGCTGATCTGTGTCGTTTTATTCGAGCGATCCTCCAGAAGAGCGAAGGTAACAATTTCATTAGCTGGCGATAATTATTTTATTGCCTGGCTCATAATTGCTTTGCGAGTGACGACGATGCTGCCTTCGAATGATCGTGACATTGGAAATGCAATTCAATGGCTGCAAATGTTCGAGGAATCAATAGTGGAAAACATACTTGTGGTTTGGAATTTTTATCTGCCTTCAAAAAAAGGAATTTTAGAGGGCGAGGAATAACGGAAGAATTTTGAGAACAGTTCGAAACAAACTCTGGACGATCTACTTGAGGAGATAATTGGACGTGAGAAAACGGGCGAGAGGCAGGTGAGAGACGGTGCGCAGTTGCGAAATAAAAATATCGATCTCTTTTAAGAAATAAACATTTATTTTCCTTTAACAAATCAACAGCGTAGAGACTAGCGTCTAGAGACTAGTCCGACGTTCTTTTTTTCTTCTTTTTTTGTTTTGTTTTACCCGATCTAAGTAACTAAAGGCCGCGAGGAATATTTTCCGTGCGAGGGGAACTCCCAAATCATTTTTATCCGTCGTCGCAAAAGAACCTCCTGTTTTTCTATTTTTATCCGTTTTCTTAATAAAGCGAACTTACACCCTGTCACCCTTTTGTGTGTGGATGCAAAAATGGTTCATTATTAGTGTCAAAAAGGTCACGCTAAATTAAGTACTCCGCGCAATGTGATGCATCTGGAAGGAAGGAAGTGTAAGCGTATAAAAATGTCGCAGAGTCCCCAAGAATTACGGGGTGACGATCAGGGGTTAAAAAAAGTCTACCTCATTAAGAGAGTCCGTGTTGATTACGATAAAATTGACATTAATCGCCACAGAGTGTTACGAGAAATACTTAAATACAAGAAAAATTGTAACGCTTGCGTGTGGAGTAATTCGGGACGCGCTCGATGACAAGGTTCCGCCGTTTGTGAGATGGATTCTATTTCAGCATTGCACTCCTACAATGTACTTTTTTCCCTCTTTTTTTTATATTTTGATAACCAAAATAAATCCTCAATTATCAAAAAATTCTGTCAAACGTTCCCCTCGAAACTAGCAGGAGCTTCCAACATTTCCGCTTCCTGCCTACGCCGAGCTATGGCTATAATTGCATTTTATTGATTATTAGTAGTAGAACTAGTATAATCACATACTAGCGACAGTAACAAGAGTAACAATAATAACTAGGATAGCGAATGCTCTAGTGATCGCGAGCTTCGCCGCTTCGCTTATTTCTTTATAAGAGCGCGACGAAATAATACTAAACGATAACAAAAATAGTGTGGATGAGAATGCTTGTTGAGGATGACGATCATGGCGATGCCGGCAATTTTCTAGCGTATTTTCTCTAAGAAAAAACTGTATTTACACGCTGTGGCTTTTCCCTAGTTGTAAGTACTGACCGTGCGCGATGCGTGCCGAAAATGCATTTGACAATGCATTTGGGCGCGCCACGCACCGCGTTACTCGCGAGTAATCCGTTTACCGGAAAAATTTTTTTTTAAGGCCATACTCGAAAGGGACATGCCCTCTGTTACGCATCTCACTCGTCTGATTCTACGCAGTGGTATAATTGCATCCTGAACGTAGCGCAGCCGATCGCTTAAAAAGAAATTTCCTAACTTCAGCTGCGGATGCGTCGCTACTGGGATGTCGCTTACGCCGGAGATGCTACGTTATGCGCTGCGTCGCATGCGTCAGATTTTTACGACAATTGCTAAACGATGTAACACGCCTAATGTTGGATTGTTGTCTGCGAGGCTACAATCAGACTAGCGATTTGCTAGTTGCTTGCTACGGACGTCGATCAACTTTTTCGCAATTTTCATTAAAAATAAAAATGTGTATCGAGATGTAAGTAAACTAATATTCACTAAAATTAATCATTAAAATAGTTAATTGCTTAATCTAATCAATTTTTTTTATAAATAAATAAGATCATGAAAATTAAAAGTTCTGCTCAAAGTTTCTTTCGAATAAAGGTGTAGCATACATTCTCTGCAGTATTTTGTTGGCAAACTAAAAACTCAGTTGCAACTATATCTGAGATCTCGCTACAAGATTCACAGGGACCGATAGTTTTACTTATTTATTTCGCGAATATCGCACTAATGGCTCTTGATTGCATTTAATTCTTTGAATTTCCTGTCAAGTGGATAGCCTGATCGTAGCCCAAATCGTGAAGCATACAGCAGCAATGATTGCGGTCGCAATGCGAGCGCATTGCCGAGTCAACCCTCCGGAACAAGAGAAGGTGCTCGTGGTAAATCTTGACAAGCTGACGGCGCACTTGCGGCACCGCGTAACGATTTCTACGAGACTCTTCCTGGTAGCACCGACAAATGTGAATATTGCGCCGACGGTGACGACAGCGTCAAAATCGTCAGCGTCCAACTACTCCCACAGTCCTTAAGGCCACGATTCCATGACGTCTTTGGAGACGGATTTTTAGATAATAAGCCCTTGCACCCGACAAGCGCCTTCGTACTCGCGAATGCATTCTCGCGGTATGCGGAAAAAGCAATAGTGATTCGAATTCCTATGTCACGCACATTCCTTGTCTGAAATTCGCGAGCGATCAGAACGTTGAATTCACGCAAAAGAAGCACGTTTTAATGACATTTGTTACTTTATCGTGTTTCCACACGGAAAAACTCGTCGCTTGACTTTTAGAAAAATAATTTTCCTACTTTATTCTCTCTCTCTCTCTCTCTCCGTGTGATCCTTTTCTAATCAAAATTTTCTCCTAAATTCTTCTCTCTTTCTCTAAACTTTCTTTCGTATAAAAAACAAATCAAAACGTCAACCGCGTTTTTCGCTGTCTCTTGTCGCGCGTCGTTCCATCTGAAATCCGTTTATAGCGCTTCGATTTACAGGTTCACGAAGACGCGGCGAAATTAACGAGATTCAGGCCGAGACTCGCAAGATTCTTCCTGCGGAAGGCGACTTGTCAAGGGCAGGTACTCTCATACGGGGGCACTCGGGCGTCGCAGGAGCGAGGTAAGCAATGACGAACGCCGCGGTGGTCGCCGGAAGGGCCGACGCCGTCGACGCTCGACGTCCACGTAAGCGGACGGCTGCTCCTCGGCGACGGCCCCCAAGGGTCAAGCCTTCTCCTCCTCCTCGTCCTCCACGTCCTCCGACGACTCCGATGTGGAGGATGTGATCAGGGCGGTCGACAGGCTCGGCATTTGGGCGGGCGAGCAGGCGAAAGAGTTAAGACGCATTCTCTGGGCACTCCAGCATTCTGGCAAGGAATGAGAGCCGTCGTCCGTCCTGTCCATCGACTGCGTCCGGTCGTTGAAGCCGAGCTCCATCATCGACACCCTCCTCGCAGGCACCCTCCTCGGGTTGCCTAATAAGAAAAATCGATGCTTTGATTTACTGCAGGAAAACGCCGAAATCGCGACAGATGCTGCTCTACTGAAAATTTCTTCAATTGATAAAGCTTCTAATATTCTCTAAATTAATAGTATAACGATAGCCACATTCATTACAATTATTTAAAAAAAAAATAACTTATTCCATTTTCCTATATATTATATTATGAGACATAAGTAGACTTTAATTCTCTGTCTATTTTTCATTTTATTTATCTGCTTTTACTTGTTAATATATATTTTGATAAATAAGAAAATGGATAAAAAGTTAGATAAAAATTTAATTAAGTGCCTGCGTCTTAACTTAGCTAAACAGTTTTACTACTTCATTTATTTATCGCTTAGAGAACATCGACATCCACCGCGGCGCTATCATAAATATCGTAGCGGATGCCAGTGTCACGTGAGATGCAAAATCTAAGAAGCTACTGACAAGTGAGAAGCTACAAAGCTTGTTTTTTCAGCTACGACATTGATGTCTATCATCAGTCTATTAACGCCTACGGTGATATCTAGCATAAATAAAAATTTGAAAAAATCGAGAAGAAATCAGTTTTACAAAACGAAGATCAGGTGTTTGCACATGCAAATTCGCTTTCGACGCAATGTTCCTTCAGTAAAACAATTAGCAATTAGCACGGTTGTGGGCGGGTTTGCGTGTCGATGCTCATTTTGCAATTGCTGGCAAAAATAGCCGCGGACGTAGATACCTACGTGTGAGTGACGCCCGTCAGGACGCATTAAAAAATAGCGTACGACAGAGGCTCTCAATTTCGTACCTCCCCGTCTTATTTCGAAACGTTTTGCGCTTGTGTAATTAATTTATAACTATTAATCGCTTGACATACCGTTCGAGAATTCTGAAATATGTAATTTTTATGCACCGATGATATACGTTTCCGCCGTGAGCACGTTTTCTGGCGCGATTGGAAGAGACGTTGGATAGCATTTTGTAAAATCGTCGAGCGCCGGTGATATATGCGCGAAAAAAAGGGGGGGAAAGAAAAAATAAAAAAGAACGTACCCTCCTTCCGCTTTGCGTCACGTACCCTTGGTTTTCGCGGGGGAATCCATTCTTGCGGGGGTGTACTCGTCCGTCTCGTCCGCCTCGTCGACGGTCTCTTGGCAATCGATACTGTCGGGCGTACACATGCTCTCGCGTCGAAATAGGCCAATCACGGATTGGACTTTTGGCTGTTCGATCCCACCTGAAAAGCGGAAAGACATAATGGGCACGTTAAACTACAGCTGGGCATTAAGTAAACCGTGAGCGATCCTCTCGAGTTGACAATGTTTTAGAGAAATTCTTTTTTCCCGAAAGGAAGAAAAAAAAAAGAAAAAAAATGAGAACCATTATTGTAGTCGGTCTACGTAGTCGTTACTTTTGTATGGAAATCGACGAAACTTTGGTAGTGAATTGATAGCTAGTGGTTAACCGATCGATCGTTGTTTCTCACCTAAGAAAGTGGCGGAGGGCGAGCTGTAGGCGAGGTATTCTTTATTGGAGCACCACGCTGGGAACTCGTGCTGCTTGATCGGATGACCCGACTCGTAATCGTCCTCACGTTTCCACGGTAACATGGTTTCCGTGGCCGTGGGAGTGGTTACCCTGTAGCCCTCTGCGCCTACATCAAACACCGCAAAATGCAAGACAATTGCAAGGGTGGTGCGTGCGTGGAAACGGAAATTGAAACCGTTATGATTCCGGCGAGTGCGATTCACGAAGCGCTCTCGCGGGGAGAGATTTGTATTCGCCGGAATGATACCGGTTCCAATTCCTGGCAGAACAAGCGTACACTCGAAAAAATAATGGTCAACAATATATGAAAAATACGCAAAAAAAATTGGAAACGGTTTCACATAGTAACACAAAGTCAACTGCTTGGCTTCTGTTTTTTTTTCTCTCTTTGCGAGAACGTACCGTCGCGTCCTATTTTCAACTCTCCCTCGTCCGAATTTATCGTGTCCATCGACGTAGTAGCGGTGGTAGCGTGTTGATTGTCCGCGTTTACATTGGGCGAATCTTTCGTTTAGAATTTTAAAATTTATTAGTTATAAGAGACTGGCCTTTAGAAAGAAAAAAAGTTATTTAAATAACGTACACGCATATCGTGTCAAGTGCCTATACTTTTGACTATGAGAAAAAAAAAAAGTTGAAACATCCTGATCGCTTCCCAATCACCGTATTCGCCGACATGCTTCGACTCAACTTTACGATTTAATTCGATTGAATAATTTAAAGAAAAGTTCTCTTTACCAGACGTTCGCGCGGTGAACGTGATTGCCGAATCCCAATCTTCTTTGCTGGAAGGTTTCGAGCTTTCGCCGTTTTCTAGCTCGTACAGCACGCCGTTGATATAATCTGCGCACAATAATCCATGAAAAATAATGAAACTTCTGAATAATTAAAAAATTACGATTGTTCCAATTGTCGCACTCTTACCTTGCGTAAATAACTTTGTCGAGCCGTTCTGCTGTTGAAATTCTGGGAAACTAACGTGGTTCTGTTTGCCGTCCTATATAAATCGAAATCAACGAACGGTAAGAAAAGACGTCGAAATTAAATACGAAAGACGATGTCGAGTACAAGAGACGTTGATTAATTCTTACTTTGAGCAACTTCTTGCTGCGTTTGTGGCGGTGCTTGTGCTCTCCCATCATCCGTCGGATATTCATGTGCATTTTGTAATTGACTTGTGTCGAGAGATCGCGATCGTTCACCGCGTGTCGGCTGTAGCTCAAACGCCGATGCTGAATGATTAACAAAATGCGTGTACAAAATTGTTTGTATAGCTTACACACTCGCGAAAACAACCTGCTTTATTTTTCCACAATCTCTTTGACGAATATGGAACATTATATATATATATATTTTTATAAAAAAATATTGAAATATTGGATCGAGAACAGAGGTGTTGTGATGAATTAATTTGTAAAGTTGTAAACGGATAGCTAGATAAACATCAATATATTTGATGAAAAATTCGAAAATTGGAAAAAAAATATTTTTCTATCATATTTCCGCTCCGGAAAATCGATTTGAATTTCATCAGGGAATGGCTAGAAAATTTGATAGTGATAGGATATCACAATATATGCACAATATATAATAAATCGTGCGTCACGAGTAGATTCCGGAATTTAAACGAGGAGAATCTAGATTTGATCACAATCTCTTACCCTTTTGTACGGTTTACAAAGCTCCTCGGCGAGCAGATGGTGAATTCTCGCGTCCGTCAGATCTTTTTTAGAAGGATTGTACTCCAGTTCCTGCAAATCGATATTCCATCCCGTCTCGAACTGACTGCAGCTGGGACTAGAGAGTAGAAGAATACGATTAGAGCGAGCCCGCTTTCATTTCATTACGACAATTGTCAGCGGTGAACAACGAGAATTCCGCACCTCCCATTGAATTGTCCGGTATTGCTGTAATTACGGAATATCGCCGACATACTTTCGGTGCCGCTAATGTTGCCGATGGTGGAGGCATTTCTTCTTATGTAATCCAGCGCATCTTTCATCGCCAGCTTCGAGTAGGTTTCCAGAATCTTCGGCTCGGCGCCGCCGCAGTGATTTCGCACGAGATAAGGTCGGATGAATTTGTTGTCGAATCGCTTAAATCTACAGCAAACCAGCTCAGGTTTTCATCAAGATACAGAAGGCACGTTAAGCGTGATTAGTCAGCATAAATGACTTTCCTACATCGCGTTCGATAAATGCGGAATAAATATAATTTTCTTATATATAAGTATCAAATTGTCATTTAAAAAAATAACTCTTCTTTATTTCAATAAAAAAATACTTATCAAAGTTTTATTTTTCGTTTAAAAGAGAATAAAACTCATGAATTTAATTTTCCGCCTCTGTTCATCGTAGACTATTAGATATTTCCTACAGTTTGATCGATCCGTCCAGTTAAGATGAATAAACAAAGTTGTCGGTAAAGATCTTACTTATCCCGCACGTGGTAGTTGCCGTGTTTTCCCAAAATGTCCTCGATACCCGCCATTGTGTGATCCATTATCTGAGAATTAGAAGGACATTATTTATCTTTCAGTTCGACGAGCCAATGTAAGCGTCATGGATTTACGAGAATTTGCTATGTGTACGTGAGCAAACTCAAACGTAAGCAGAACGCTGTATCAAAGTTTCTGGTAAAAAATTGCCGCTATGTACACATTCTGTAATGTGGCTCGACAATGACGAATGTTATCCTATTTCGCAATTCTTCATATCGATTGCACACCTGTTTCCGTCGTACCGCTAAAGAAAATACGCCGTAATCGAGATTCGCAGCAATTGACTCATATATCGTCGATAGCAATTTTTAACCGTCCTATTATATTTTTACATCTCTATATCAATCACGGCCTGATAAGCGAATTTCTCCGCCATTGTTTCTCGATGATGACCTCGATGTTGGAGTCGCGCGGCAATAGGCCGCAATAGGCCGCAAGCGGCCTTCGAAATTATTCGTCGCTGAACTTACCCTCTCGTGGATCCTCTCGTTCATCGTCGGCTTCCTCTTCTCGGCCCTCTTGACATTGAGGATTTTCACGAGCGGTTTGATGGTGATACCCTGAAAATAAAAAGAGCGTTTACACACGGGCGTCGTCGCGAGACGCATGTCCGTTTCGCGTCAGGATTATTGGCGCCGAGCGGAGAGAGAAGCGGCTGATAAAATGCTTGACGCAAAAGTGTACACTCGAGTGTGTGCGGCATAGAGATATTAGGTTTCCGATCGATCGCGCAATAAAGACCACACGTGCAGAGCTGAGTTTTTTTGCCATTAACGTCTTTATCGTACTCGCCGCTCATTAATCGTTGATCGAACGGACGATTACCCGCCGATTTAGCGGCTTCTCTCTCTCCCTCTCTCCGCCTCTTTTCTCCACTCCGATAAAATAATCTCGTCGAAGAGATGCTCTCGGGACCTTTGGACGCGTCTCAAAATACGCACGAGTCATCTGTTCCGTAAAAGACGTCGCTGACTGGGTCGGCCCGGTATACTCGAGCAAGGTCTTACGCTTCATGGAGGAATATTCGCGTCCTCGCGTTATGCAACGCTCCTATTCTCGCTCGCGTCAACGTCTCGTCATGCATCGATCGCGATTATGCATTACATATATATACATATGTATGTATGTATATATATATATAGTCGTGATCCTACCTGGATGAATACGGTGAAGTAGATGACGGCGATAGTGGTGGTAACGAACATGGGCTTCAGAGGCACGTATCTCGGGTCTATAAGGAGCACCAGGGCGAATGCTACAGCGCCACGCAGACCGCCGTAGGACATCACAAATTTCTCCACTTTGTCCAATTTGTGCAGCCGGAACTGGTTCGCCAACGCCGTGAGCACTATTACGCCTGTAACAGGAAGTCGAACACGATTACAGCTGTAATATCCCGAAAACGTTGTTTCGCGCAATATGTTGCGATGCGATAACGAAGAAACCGATGAGAATCCGTTTATCGAAGAAAAAACGATTGCATTATCCCGTACTTTTATTATACATTATTATTAGATTTTTTTATATTTTTCGTTTTGCAGACGTCTATATATGTCTATCGATTTAATTCGATTGCGAGTAATTAGTGATCGCCTCGATGAAGATGCGGAATGTGTCGGTTGTGCCTCGGAGATCTAATGGAATATCTAATGGGACATCTAATGGAACTCCTAATGGAGCAAACATATGGCGTTCGGGCTCCGTTGCGTACTTTCCACATGATCGAGTGACAAATTGTCCGGTTAGGACGAGAAGCCATAAGTGAAGCGCGTCGCTAAGCCGCGCGTGACGTAAGGTGCTCGTGTAAGCAGAAGTCAATTGTCTTAAGTCCCATTATGATTTCATCGTTTAACCGTATCGCCTTACACGCGGTTTCGCGCTCGCCAGCGAAGCGATGCCCTTAACGCCAGCCCGGCTGATCCGGTCAAGGCCCGCGCGATCGTGTAAGAATTCTTCGACACGAATCCGTTATTTATATCACGCCACTTTTTCTCATTTCCTTCCTCGATAACATTCTTAGAAATTAAAGCTTTTGTATGCTAATACTCTCGCGAGTTAAAATTATACGATTAGCATACGGAATATCTTGGCGCGTTTAAATTTAAAAATAATTTTTTAGAGTCTTCAAATTCGTTTAATTTCCCAATTTATCGATTGATTTAAGGATAATTATTCCCAAGTCTGTCGCAAAATGTTTTCGATGAAAACAAATCGATGAAAAATTGAAATTCCGTATAATGCGTTTTACAATTTATCAATGTGCAAGTAAGTGTGCGCCGCGTGTATGGATCGTATTATAAAAAGAAATTTAGAAATTGTTATAAGCTTATAAAAAAACTACGTAGTTCAAGAATAAGATAGTATTCCTCGTATTTCTAATAATAGCTGTTTAGACGTAAGAATTTAAAACGTCAGAGAAAATCCCTCTCAGGCGTACGTCGCGCGCGCGTCGCACAATCGAGTAAAATTAGAAAGTCTGACTTTTACTTGCCCACAACCCGATAGACGGAGCAGAAGACTATCGTCATGACGACGAACCACGTATTCCAGTTGTGAGCATTGTTCACCGTGGCGACGCCGAGGAACATGAATATTATGGTCTCCGAGCTACTCGACAGCATCTTCATTGTGTACTTGACGGTCGTGTGAGACTTGTGCGATATATTGGCCTCGACGTAATTCTTCATCGTAATACCGCAAAAGGTTATCCTGGAATAAAAGGGATCGCGAATTACGGGACGCATAACATGGCAGCCGTCGTTTATTTCGACGACGTTAAAACGTCGCGAGTGTATCATGTCTGTAAGCGCGAGCAATTGTAACGCGTGTAACTACGCGAATTAAAACGCATTGTTCAGTGCGCTCTGTATATCGCCTTTAATACTTCTTTTACAGAAAACATTCGATGCTGTTATTTTTAATAATTTCTATAAAGAGAATTAAACTATATAAGTAAAATTAAAATAAACTTCTCGATCGACTATTATCGGTAGATTTTAGCCGTCCACGATTTAATAACCGATAATATTTTTTAATAAAGACAAATTCGTCGAAATTCCCAATTCCTTAATTTAGCGATTACTCGTTGAAAACAGATTTTATTGGAACGTATCTCGAGGCTGGAGATGCCAACGCGATACGTCCAAGCCGATGATTTACTTACGCCAATATACCGGACAAGTGGAAGATCTCCGCACTGAGGTATGCCAAGTACGCCATCACGAATATGAAGATCGGCTCGATCACGCGCACCTGATGAGTAAACCTGGTCACGAAGCCAGTGGCGAAACCCCAAACTATACCTATGAGCGTGCCGCCGATTGCCACCACCAGGAACGAGGCCAGACCCGCCAGCACATCCGTGTAGATGATCCTCGATGGGCCCATTTCGCTGTACGTCTCGAACATGTGATAGAGCACCTGCGTAACCGCATTCACTTAGTCTCGTTACGTTAACCCTTGACACTTTTCTCCACCCGTCTAGCAATAGCGCGGATCTAATAGGCGACGGATCGTTACCGGCGCAACCTTTCTCTCACCGTTCTTAGCCGGCCCGACCCAATTTTCGCGATAAACACGTAAATGTCTGCTAGACGTTTAGTTAATTGACGAACGCGAATAATATGAATGAATTATAAATATAGCGCGACAAAAAGATTGACCTATTTGCAGAAATATTCAATCTTGCCAGTAACAGCAAAAATTCGAACAAATTACCGAAATTCTCGAAACAGTTTTGCAATAAAATTTTCAACGCAATTTTGTGCAGTTATTCCATATTTTAAATAAGTGACGTGTGTTTCGAGAGTTAATTGTGTGCGATTGATATTAATAACCATCAAAATGTTAGTACGACGATGTTTATTAATGTTTATTAATTTTGTCGCGACAATCTTGTTTACAAAACGCGTTTTCATTACATCGTTTTGTATTATTTAAACGAAGCATCGCGGATTGCGATCGCGTGGCTCGCGAGCAAATATGTTGTTAATTTTTAACCGGAGCGCAGGTATTTGGTGACTTGACTCGCGCTTATGGACAATTTGATCGATATCATATCGATCGCTCGGCCGACGAGTGCGCTCGCCGTTTCGCAAAATCACATGCAGCAAGCTTTACAATTCTGTTTCCATTTATTTATCAGGTATTCTAATGCTAGGCTTTGACGGAATATTAATCAACGTCAGCTTCAGGGCCAGCCGTAAGCGCGGAAAGAGCAAGAGACTGAGTCATGCATGTGATGATTGCGAAATTATTATTTTTTCCGCGACATATGATTATTCGCATCGCTTTGCACAATTTTCAATTTAATTTTTGCTTGTATTCTTTACAAAAATTTTATTTTGTCGTTATTGCGTTTTTATTCTCACACATTTATTTGCTTGTTTTTTGTCCATAAACACATTTTACATTCTCATTAAAGGATCGTCAAGCTTATTTTTATCTTCCATTACTATTATTTATGTTTTCATAAAAAAAATTAACATTTTACTTTCTTCTTTTAACACCTGCATGAGACATGTGCGCAGATTACATTCGGTTCGCAAATCAAGCGAGAATTCGACCCTTTAATCTTCTGGTCTTTAAAAGTTTACAAAAAAAACAGAGATTCCCGCAGCTCATCACGCTACCTACGCGGCAGATTCCTCGTACAGAACCGTGTAATATAAATAATGTAATACTCACGACAGTGACCGCGTCGTTCAATAAACTCTCTCCGAACACGACGATGTAAAGGATCTCGTTTACGTGGATCTCCTCGAAGACGGCCAGCACCGCGACGGGATCGACGGCGCTGATCAGCGCCGAGAACAGGAACATGTCGAGAATAGGCGTCTCGCAGCCAAAAAGACCGCCTTTCCCCAATAGCCATAATGACGCGCCTAGGATAAAGAATATTTGAATTACAAAAATGCGCATCTAAAATCAGATACCGTAATACTTTTCGCATCGCAACTCGCCCAGTTTATCGTCGTTCGTCCCATCAGATGCATCTGAATAAATTGTCCATTTATCGAAATTATTTTTATCTCATCAATCCGCAAAGTCGTTGAACGCGATGCCGTGATAAGAGAGCGAGCGATAATGTCGTCGAAAATAGAAATTTGCATTATCGGATACCGCAACCCCGCCTACGCGATATATTCGCTCTCGAAACTCGTTGTATTTCTCGCTTCGAAATAAAAGAGAGAAAGTTCTCTTTATATATTAGATCTTTCGAGGATTCGCAATGATTACAGTGCGGCTTTTAATCTACTCTACTAGTCGTATATTAATTAAGATCGTACCGCAATCTTGTGTTATCGATCGCCGCCGTTGTTGTGCTTACCGGGACGTTTCTTGGAAATTACGCGCGACACGCTTCGGAAATGGCAAAGAGTTTTCATTTTCGCCGTGAGTTTTTCATCGATTAAGCCGGTTAATCGGATATTCTTAGATATTACCGCGCGATAATCGCACGGCCAGCATCATTAAAGATAATTAAATTTAAATGCAACGTCGTCTCAGTCTTTTATCTCATCTCGCGTTGTCTTCAAAAGTTATCGCATGAATACGTGTTTTCGAGAAATTGATGTTTGCACTTTTGTGTTTCATGTTAATTAAAAGATCATATCGAGAATTATGATTCGGTAGAATTTTAGCGCCAGAATCTGCTAAAAGCCAGAATCGTAAATAATCACAGCTGCACGATTCTCTTTGAGTGTTGCGTTAAACAAAAATTCATTTAGTTCGAAATTGGAACTGAGATAATTAAGGACTGAATGTAAAAATAGCCACAAGAGCCAGATTGCCTCAGAGAGTAATAATAAATAAATTATAAATCGATTTCTTTCAAAAAAAGCAACTGTTTCTTATCATTTAGTATTTCGTTAATGCTTTTGATATCTAAATAATATTCACAAAATGTTGACATGCTATTGACTTTGGCACATAGACTTGGCGTCTCTCGAAATGAAAATGTACTGAAAATATAATATTGACAGCCTTTTTACATGAGATCTTCGATTCTAATCGCGTTTGTCGTTTGCATATATACAATTCTATCCAATTATATTTTTTTAACGTTACTTTATCGAACGCAGAAGTTTAAATTAGATTCCAGACATTGCGTGTCGGACGTTCGCCTCCTTTCCGGCCGCATTAACAATTTCAATTGCAATTCGCGGTTATCGCGGAGTCACGATCGAGTTACTATCATCACGACGACAGCAGTTATCGTTAGGACGCCAAATCCGCCTGCGTTGCGTCGATGCGTATACGCATACGCGTACGTGCTCCCGCCGCGACGCTCGCTCCGACACGCGCGCTATTTTCGTTCGCGCGTTTCTCAGGCCGCGTTTCCTCTGTGTTTTTAAGACGGACATCTGCGTTTATGCTAGACCGCGAACAGACCGCGAACAGAAAGCAAAGATTGAACCCATTCGCGAAACGATCGGTATTTTCTTTATATCTTTGTGAATGTACGTGATGGCTTGTTCACGGGTGTCTTATTACTTTACACTTATTACTTACACTTTCATTTTTAACCGAACGACTTCGTGATAATCTTTATCAATATGCAAAGCCCTACAAATGTGGAATGTTTTTTTCGCACAAACCACAAATTAAATTCAGAGTTGCTTCTTTCCTTGTTTTATCTCGAATACGATGTTATCGCGAGTTTTAAAAGTTCACAAGTTTAAAAGATAAGTGACTATTGACAGCTGACATTTTTACTCCAAAATGTCGATATTTTACCTTCACTTCTGTTTACGGTCTGGTGCAACTGTGTGATCTTATAGGCTTTATAAATTTTTTAAATTTAATATTTTAGATAACTTTTTCTTTTAAATAAGAGTGTCGAGACCGGGGATTTATCTTTTATATTGAAAACTAAAATATACGTCAATCGAGATTCCAACATTTTGAGTGTCAGAATATAACGACAACAGCAATATGGTAATTCAAATTATTTTTATTCCATCAATTTCGATGCAAATTGTCATTCAACTTCATAGCTATGTCTATATAGCATGTCTATTTTCATATGACATTTGTAGCTATATGACGATTTATGTTCGAAATCACTCGGATAACATACTTGAGGAGTATAGCGCGCGGTTTTACCCCCCTGGGACCTAAGTTGATAAGTATATATCCGTGTTTCGAACACGCGCGGGTTCTGTGTACTCGAGCGAAACGAAGAAACCGAGAGTTAGAAGCATCCGGCGCGCCGAGGGAAAAGAAATAATCCGAGTTGCGAAAATTCGCTCGTTGATTGCGTTGGTCAATCGCGTCAACGAGCGTCGGCGCCGTGTCGCCGCAGTTCTTTTACCAACCTATCGACATCGTATTAAATATAGTCCCAAGGACAGCGAACAGGAGTATCGTCCCGAGATGGTCGAAGAACAGCCGATTGGGCATGAAGTAGCCGGCGTCCAGGATGATCGGCGGCAGCATGTACAGGAAGAACGTGTCGGGCGTCAGCGGCGATATGTGGACGCTGCTCGCCTGGAATAGCAGCAGGCCGACGATCACGCCGACGACGATCAGCAAGCAGGACTCTGGGAAGATCTTGTTGAGTTTGGGCGCCATGTGGAAGCCTGTCACGATAAACAGCGGTTTGATTTAAGGACTCGACGATCGAAGCCGTCCTAATTTCGACGAGCCGAGCATTTTCATATCACAGAAACGAATGAGAATTTCGCTCATCTTTAATGTTCCTTAATTGTCATTAAATACAGCGCCTTCTTGCGCGCTCTATATTTTGAATTAAAATCATCGAAATTATGTCGGCTTTCGATCAGCTGAGAATCGCTACGACCGATATCCGGCATGCAGCGACGATTCCAGCGAATACAGCAGGTGCGACGTGTGTCGCGTGCGCCCCGTGTATAGCATTTTTCGCACTCGACACGAAAGCTCGTGGTAGTCCGCAGTTCGTGTGCACTGGACGTCCGCGGTCACTATGATCGTGCCGTATCGCGAATTATGCGCACCATTCGAGAACGTGCCGGATATTCGATGCACATTGCTCGAATTCTTCGGTGGAATCTTCGGCTCGATCGCGCTCGACTTGAATGCGATTAATGACTCGTCGAATGGATCGGCATGAAACGCGGCAGCTCGAAAACAAGATTCTCATTCGACGAGTTGAGGTACAGACATTTTATTTATTTATACCGGCACTACTCTTTCACGATTTCGCACAGCAGTCTGCAATTTTTTGTGTCCTGCCAAAATAATCAAGCAATCGGTTTATGCGAACGTTTCACTCTCGTTCGCTTTTACCCGCGAACTTTTACCACTACTCCGTCGAACGACAGAAATATCAGTGGCATAGTTTGTTTTTCCTCGACTCGCCACATCTTGCCACATGCTTGAGCATTTACGCACGCAGGCAGTGCACCGAATGAAATTACACGGATCAAAGAGAAAAAGAATTGCATCCATTGAGTTCCGAGCGCTGCTCGGGCGGATCAATATCAAGTGATCGCGTTCAAATTTGCCCGGCCATCCTTATAATGCGCTGCGCACGTAAAGACGGGGCTTAACATGCATCGTAAGATATTACCCTCTTGAATCTTTGAGTGCCGGAAGATCGTCTTCATCTATCTCGCAAAATGCAAAATCGCGGCTTTCCTGAAGACGCGAGAGCGTCTTCTCAACAGCACCGCACACGAGCTCACTATATATTCCGCGTTAATTTATACGAAATGAATTAGTGGCGAATTGGTAAATTGCAAATTTTCCGTGACATTTTCTGTACAATAAAAGCTCTTTGTACGTATGCCGTGTAATTATTAAAAATAAATCTCATTTTCGCATAAAAGTGTAATGAGGCTTGCGTAACGAATGAATTGCAGCTTGTTTTCCGTGACATTTGCCACGTTTTTGTTATGTAAGCAAATGGAAAAATACGATATGCACTAATGTATTCATCGAAAAACGTCACCATTGAAAATTGACATGGCCCAACGTGCACAGATGGATGATAATGCGACAGATGTTTATATCGAATGTAACAATAGATGCAAACTACGAAATGTATGCCAATTTTCGAATAACATGTCTATTGTAAAGTTAAAAATGATCATAACACGTATATGGTATTGTCTAGTCTTTTAATTTTTCCATAGCTAATTAACTGCGTGATTTCGTGTCAATTGTTTAAGTTTCTAATTTAAAAAATGTTAATTATAAATAACGTGTAATCAAAATTTAACAGGGAAATAGTCGGAATAAAGTTAAATTTATAATGAAAAATAATAATAGAATATTCGTCTTTTGAATTTTTGTTGCACAAGGTACAACTTGTCAAAAAAACGAGTCCTAGATATACCGGCGAGTGCTCATTACGCATGCACATGTTTCGGAACAAATATATATGCACAAGATGTTAGCTTTTCAGGTCACATCGCTTAATTTGTAAATATATTTTGATTTATTACCAATGTTTATCGCGAATGATAAATCTGCCTGTCGTTTTCAACAACGAGTTTATACTTCTACACTGAAAAGTTCATTGTTTACATTAAACAATGTTTCGAAGAGGCCAACATCTCACGCGCGTTTACACATATTTTATTCCAAATATCACATCTGAAAGAGAGAAAAAATGAAACGGCGACAATTTCATTAAGCTCCGTGACTTACCGATTTTCGCGAGACTGGCGAAGAAGATCCATATCCCGATGAGGAAGGGCGTCTCAACGCGTGGGAACTCGACGCTGATGATGTGGTACTCGGTTTTCGGCGAGTGCTCGTCACCGGGCGCGAGGACGGCGGTGGCGTCGTCGCTGGAACGCGCGGCAGGCTGCTGCGCGTCCTTAGCGGGCTCGCCGGCGTTGTCGCTGGCCGACGAGAGGCTGCGCAGGGTGGCATCGTTCGGCAGAACCGAGCGGACGACCGGGCCCATGGGCCCGAAGCCCAGGCCGGGATAAGCGCCGTAGGGATCGCCGGGAAAATCACCGGCGTCGGCCTGCGGCCCGTGCGGCGCGGTGTGCTTCTCCGCCGGGATCTGCTCCGCGGAGCCATAATCGTGGAAGCGTGCGAGACCGGCGGCGCGACCGCATTCCGGACAGCACGACAGGACGGCGACGAGGAGGAGGAGGAGGATCATCGGGGCGAGACGGCCCATGGCGCGACCGGCGCGACGCGTCGCCGACGACGACGGCGGTGCTTCTGTCGTGGACGATCCGCGCCGTCGTCCGCGCTCGTCCGTCGCCGCTGAATCACTAATACTACTCGCTGTACCATCAGAAGGGAACCGCCACGACGACGAGCACGCCCGGCACGCTCCGCCAAGTTCCTCAACGACTGAGCTCTCCCCTAGATTCCGCCGTGCACAGGGCGGCGAGACAGGGGCGGGTTTACCTCGACGTTGCCCGCTACCCTTCGCGAGTGCAATCGCACACACCGTCGCCCGTTACTCCCCGTGCAACGCCTGCCCCTTACGTCACCCCGCAACGTGGTCGCTCCCCTGGGTCGCACTATGCAGCGCGCCGATAGAGCGATCTCGAGGGCCTTCTGCCAGACACGTCCAACATCTGTCTCCGTGCGAGTCTTCTTACATAAAGCTTTTCCCCTGCGACGAATGATCCTACTTCCCTTCGCCCGCTTATTTCAAAGCTAATAGGTTGAATGTTATAACTCTCGCGACGAGATGCCGCACGAGTAGAATGTCTTCGGGGAAAACGTCCGTCTTGTTTGTATACACTGATTGCTGCGGCGCGACGATTGGTCCGCGGACCCGGTTGCGCGGCTAATACGGACCGAAACGAGCGATGATAACTATTACGCGGCTGTAAATCGTTGAAATGTCAAAGCCAATAATTAAGCGTGACTCACATCGCCTCGAGAAACGTCGCGTGCTACATTAGCTGATGCTGATGGACCATGCTTCTCGCGCGGGATCGCACCGAAAGACGTCCGTCCGTGTGCCAGCGTCGGCACCGATGCTCGCATCTGCTCCAAGACTGAATGAAAACGCAGCTGCGACCGCATCCCCGAGTAACGAGTCGAAAGCAGCTGATTTTTTGGCAGCGGGATGACTGTTTTCACGCCTGGCTCGGCCTGCGCGACAGAGCAAGCCGTGTGTGAACTCACGATGAAACTCCGCGACTTTGAGCTCGATTTGTCGCACGCAATCGGGTGACGCGTCGCAAACGACAACGATGACTGAAACGATGACGGGAACGGGAGAAAAAGAGAGAGAGAGGGAGCGCGTTGCTCGTCGCGCGACGCTGCTCGTCTTACGCACCGCTCGCGAATACCGCGGACGGACGTTCTCAAGTCTTTACAGCGTCGCCCGGCGGTGTGCGCGAGGTCTGATCGACGCGCGGCCGCGGCGACTTAAAGACGACGACGACGACGACGACGCGGTGGAGGGACAGGAAACACGACGACGATAACGGGCGCGCCGCATTATAAAGCACGGGCGGACGACTCATCGAAGTGGATGTACGTCGCACCTTCCGCCGGCGTGCCTCTATCGACCGACCGAACGACCGACCGACAAACAGAACGACCGACACGGCAGCACTGCACGGCCGCGCACTGGCGCGCACTACGGCGCACGTCGGCGACGACGGCGATGACGGGCCGAGCCACGGGGAAACGCTGCCAAAAACGCGTGTAGACGCTCGTCGGCACTGCCCTCCTCGTCGTCGGACGACGATAGTTAATAAATATTACGTTATGCTTGAATGCATCTCTCTTCCCTTCTTTCTTCGCGCTTTGTTTGTCTCGCTTTTTCCCGGCGCCGTCCCTGCACGTCGCCTTCCCTCGTAAGTTTCTCCCTCTCGCTCTCACTCGATAAACGCTTCCAGCCAGCTGATCGTCGATGAAACCCGCGCAAGCGTCGCGACGCCCGGATATAGTTTACCCTCGGCGGCGGCGGCGGCGGCGTCCAAGTGCGGCTGCGTCGTCGTTGTTTTTCGCGCCGCGACGCTACGTCGAAGACGTAGGCCGGAAAAATTCCGCAGAAACGGCGCCGATGCGCGCCCCTGCGAAATTTCTTTTATTAAAAATACCTTGAGGATTCCGACGCGTTATGGCGTAAAAAAATTATCGCGTATTATTCAAAATTAGATTTATGAATTTGATTTCTGTTTTAAGGCTTTTACACGTAGCGGCGCCGTGTGAGCCCGCTCGTGCGAAACAACGCGGAGAGCAAATTTCTCGTAGAGGTGATTTGTGGCTGGCGTAAAACACGCTTCGCCAAGGGTGCTTTCGTATGGACACTAGCGGCTTGCCGCTGACAGCACGTCCGGCGACCCGCAGACGTGCCACTTTGGCGCGGCGTCACGATGCCGGTATCTACGGTTACGTCGAAGCCCTGACTGACGCCGACCTTAAACCGAAGAGACGCGTCACGTCGCACGCCGGGTCGCGAAGACACACACATACATTTACACACTTCGCTTCGGCCTTGACCTTGCGCCGGCGGATGCGCCGGTATCGCTCGATTCACGCGGCCGGTTTGCACGGATTTCGGCGTATGCGCGAAAAGCTTGTTTGCGCGAGAGACGGAGACGTTTGTCAATCGTCGCGTATTATTGCGGCGACGCACCGTCGGACGGAAACCCTATTCCTCATAACAACTGTGTAATTATCGCTGCGACAATGAATCGGTCGTTTCTCGCGCGACGCGACGACGTGAATTCGTGCGACGCGCGTGATAGGAAGTGCGGTTAGATAACGATTTATTGCGGACGGTTTGCATAAAGAGAAAAAATTATCAGGGCGTCGAGTAGCTTCTGCTTGACAAATGATCCGCGTAAGGCGTTGGCTGTTTGCGGAACGATTGAGAGTCGCATGCTCGGCCGACGCGTCGCTTGCTTACCCTCGCTACTTTTCTCCCGCTCTTATCTGCCGCCTCTCGTACGTACCTCTCGACAACCGCCTGGCGTTTATCAAGATTTAACGGCTTACAGAAACCCCCTCGACACCGTATGTTCGTATGTCGCACGGCGCACCGAGCGCAAATCCATCCGGACGTAAAAATTTCCCGAGTGTTGCGTTCCCGAGCGCAGCTGCGCACGGCGCCGAGAGAGACGTTTCTCTCTTCTTCTATATAGTCTCTTCTTAGTGACATACGATTAACTAAATAATTCGTTAAATTTGCATGATCCGATCTTATCGCTTCGCGCGTCATCGACGAAACCGTTTCGTTGACTCAGCATAAGGAGATGCCCGATTGAAGAGCTTAATCTACTTGATATGCTGCTGTTTGTATACGCCAGCATGCGAGGAATCGCGTTGTTTGCGTAACGATAACGTACGATTAGCGGCGGGCATGATAAGAAAACGATCTGCTCGTCCTTGTGGAATTTCGTCGCGCGCACGTGCAACGATGCGCGCGAAGAAGTAGTCCGCGGTTTGATTTAGGGCTCCATTATCGCGCTATCCGATGGAAAAATCGGAGCGCGACGATAAAAGTAATGCGAACCGCTCGAAAAATTGCGCTATCTCTATGTTCTCCATTTTACAGAGTATCCCGTCACTATCGCCGGTCGCCCCGTTAATGGCGACAGATTAACGAATGGGTCGATTTATCCTTGACAAATTTTTCATGTTAGGCTATTATCTCCCTCGCGAGTTTTCACCGCTTAACGTCAGATACCTTTAAATTGATTCAATTGTGATTAAAACTGAAAAGGGGAATTTAGTTTCTATTTTATTCGCAAAAATGTCATTAATCTTGTACGTTAAATTCTTTGCGTGATATGGATCTCTCCGTCAAATCTTTATTAGAGTAAAATTTATCGCGAAATCTGCCATTAATAGGAGCCAGCGGTAATAGCGGAGCACCCTGTACATTTATTTTTCTTCTACGTTTCTTTGTCTCGCGCTTTCTATTCGCTTCGTCTCTCGCTTTACTCGCCGTTCGTGTCTAGCGGATATCGATTTTACGTTATGCCACGTGCAACCTTGAATTGTCGTGTTTTTCGACCTCGCAGCCGAGCATAATCGCGAGATTATTTCGGCGTTTGCACTAAGCCGGACATGATCCCCAAAGAGCGCAGTGTTAAGTAAAAGTACAACGACCGACGCGACTGACAAGACGTCGTTAAAATTTAACGGATACCAATTATTCCGGATTAAAACAGTTCTGTTCTTAAATGACCAAATATTGTAATTACATCAAATTACCTGTAATTTAGCCGTCATTAATATTTAACGGCCAGACAAATAATAGTCTAACGAGACAACACATCGATCCATTCGGCTCGCTCGGGTCAAACAGGATTCCGGATTCCAAATTCACCCTCGAGCCGGTTGCGTGTCGATTGTGCGCGGCGTTACCGCGGCTTATCCCGATATTAGTCTGCTGGGTATCATTCCCGGACTCGGGGAGGCGTTATACCTGCCTACCTGCGGATAAAATAAGGGTCGTGTAAAGCAAGGGTTCGCGAACAACACTGTGGAGAATGGCCGCTTGTTGCAGCCGTACACGCAATCATAACATACGACATTTCCCGTGGTCCATAATTTAAGCCTTTCGCTATGAAGGACGGCGTACACGCACAGTATCCTAACCTATAAATTTGGCGCGCCGGCCGGTTTCGCTTTCTTTACGCTGCCGTATCGAAGGGATTAATTTTCCTTTTGTGATTAATCGATTCAGGATGTCTTGCAAAATTTGATTTAATGTATCGAATTATCCGTAATAAATGATTGTGGGTTTATTTCGAAAGGGATTTTACCTGTTATTATTCTTCATAATTTCATACGCGTTGTGCACACTCGATGCGCCCTGTGGCGCCCTGTGCGAAAATATTGACAATTACATCGATCCGACAGCAAGCCGAGCGATCCCGACCTAGGGCGGAATTAGTCGACAAGTGCAATCACCTAATCCTCGCGAAGCACGTGTATAACGGTAAATGTCCCGCTACTATACGATCAGCTGATCAGCTGATCGGTTACGCGTCACACGTATGCACACACACACACACACAGGCGCGTTTATTCACAAATGACTCGTGTACGTCGGATTTTTATAATGCTATATCTCGGCGAAAAATTAACGTAGCGACATGAAATAAGAACGGATCTTCTTTGCTCCGCGTCCCGCAAACCCCTATGCTTATTGTTTATGCTGTTATCACGACGCATACATATACATGTGCAATGATAATATGCATATTTGTGTAAATTATAATACGGTGGATTATTAAATGTGAAAAAAAAAATTGGTGTGATAATTACAGAATATGTTTTGCGGCGTTATGCGATCATGCTGAAAGGGTTAATGTTATTTGTTTATCCATATTTGAACATATTGACATAAACAGCATTCTGGTCTCGTGCCCACAGCGGTATGTAATCGAGAATTATGATCGGCGGTGGAGTTTTAATCACGGTACATATGGTAATAATGTTTCCTCACGATGATTATATGCAATTAGAATGTACAGTTTGGATATTATTGCAATTGTAACCACAGCTTTAGATAATATTGTCACATCGCACGATTAAAATAGATGTATCCGGAAACACGTTATGATCTTAATCAGTTTTGCATAAATTATGTTTCAGTTCTACCTTAGATACTTCATATATAAATCTCGCAGCACCAAAAGTAACGAATTTAACAAATGATACAGTTTGATATAATAATATAATTTTACGTTTCTCAATATATATTTTAAATATATTGAGAAATGTACGTATCTAAAATAGTCATACAAATTATATCAGAGTGTATTATTTTTAATACGTTTATACATTTTGTATGTATATAAAAATGTATAAAGATAAATGCAACTTGCAAAAAAACATCAGATATAAAATAATCAGATAAAATCCATTATATTTATTACATTTTTGAGAAACTAATACGGAAGCCGGCTATGAAATATATTATAGCAGCTTTCGGCAAACTTTTCCCCGGTATTTTCTGATGTTCGCGCAAGCACGCGAGGTTTAATAAAGTTGCGAAATCGAATATTTTGTTTGTTTCATTTCTTGCCTCTATTACCGACAAGATTGAAGAATGGGAAGTGCTTACATCCCCCCCCCCCCGGGCAGCGTTGCGAATGCGCGGATGTGCTCTCACTACGTTATTTAGAGGTATCGCGTGGAGCGACGTTTCTGTATCGCTCGATGATTCGAAGAAGGTAACGGCGTTCGTTCAGCTAACACGGCCACTCTGTCGTCCCCTCGTTCGCTTTCCGCCCCCCGGCGTGGAAAGCAACGACGAGGGTGCGCGAGGGTTTCACGAGGGTAGCGCAGACAGAGGGGAAATGTGGCGAGAGAGAAAAGGAACGGCAGGATATCGTTGAAAGTAACGATATTTGCGGAAGCTCTCATGCCCGCCTTGAAATTATTGTCGTCAAAACGGTCGACGGCGCGGGAATTTTTCGTTGATCAACGACGTCGAGGAGCGACGTTGGCAGTCGGTCATTGCATATTAATAGATCTATCCCGGAGAGAGATCCTACTTATATAATAACAACTGTATTAAAGCAGAGAGCGCATATCGGATATCTTCTATTTTACATGCTATGAAAAAAGTTCATCAACTCATTTAATTACGATTCTCCAGTAATTGACATTATGCGCGACAGTATTTCGGTCACGTATTCACGTTATAGTTTATTGAGACATTTCGGGACACGGGAGTTTATTTTACGAAGGTTCGCGCTTCTTTTTATCATGCGATATTCATAATACACAACGGTGCGCGTCGCAACGTTAAACTCGTGTTGAAGATTTTTTTTTGACAATTTTCTTCTTTCCTTTTTAGCAGCATTAATACCGGTCGACGTGATATATCAGCGGTGACGAGTGACGGAGAATCGATTGGATCGATTGCATTTCACGAATTGACGATTCGCCGCGACACGGCCGCGCGGCGATAACTCGAATTCCCGAATGGATCGTAATTAAGATGTTAAACAAATGCCGAGCGCCGATGGGTTATTAATTAGCCGCTATTCATTCGCGCGATCGCGCGATCCCTATGAATCCGAAATGAGATAGCGCGGAGTCGCTTCTCCCTTTTCCCCGCGATCACCTCTGTCGTGAATCGCATGGCACCGCCGGATGCGACCGCATTGACGAGCGCAAAGGCGGCCACGGAACTGACGAATGAAAGGAGAATTGGCGGCGCGACGAGAGTTTGTGAACTTCTCTCGCGATTAACCGCTATCTCTTTTTTCCCCCTTCACTGTCTCTCTCTCTCTCTCTCTACTTTGACGAGATTTCTTTTACGGTCGCTTCGTCGTACAATCAGGTGTATTTCAGCGCGACCGGCTTGAAACGCACCATCGATCTTCCCCGTGTCTCACCGGAGACCTTTCAGGTTTATTGCAGCGTAAACAGGACCTACGAAAGGATCATTTACTCGCGCCGCACCGTCAAAGGCGACGGTGTATCCACTTTTACTCTCACGATGCGTGTCGGCGCGATTTACTTACGATGGAACATTTATCGCGCGAGAATTCGCTGGCCCGGCGCATCGCCGGTAATTCGATCAGGAGAAGCACGAGTGTAATTAGTTTATACCGGAAACGATATGCACACACGAAGTGTCCGACGTGAATTTAAATTCCCCGACGTAAATGTGCCGCCCGGTAACGACGCAGAGTATTCGTTTGTCGATGCTATTTAATGGACATGCACGGATACGCAGATGCAATGATGATTAAAGTTATTTATATTCCTGACGAGGAATCGGACCTAAATTGAAACGTGGCGGGTGACGAGGATTTACGGTCGAGTTCATTGCGCGAAGAACGCGCGGGATGACGATAGGGAAAACTGATAAAAATGCATCGGGCCGAAATGGCGGAAAGTTTTTAAGATTATTTCGTATTAGTTTTAATTCGCCGCGACGGGCGCGAGAATGTCAGAACCGAGAGAGCGGCGGGGCGGAGGCGAAATTCGATTTAATTAAAATTGATAATCCCGAGAATATAGATATTACGTAAAGTCGCCGGCTGCATTGAGAGTCGTACGACCCTCTTTTGGAAGTTTATACGGAATTGCCAAGTCGGCGGGTTACGTTTCCGCGGCGCCGACGTCGTGCAATCGATGCACAAACCCGACGTCGATCACGTAACGACTTTTACGCCAACGCACTTACGCAAGTTACGTAAGTATCGCGCGCTGCAATACCGCCCCGTTCATTCTACTTCCTTGCGCTACATCGAGATGGGTGACGGCGATAAATAGTCGAGGATATTCCCCGTACATGATACTTCTCGTGTAAGCTACGTTCATACATATTTCTCGAGGATAAAAGCTGAACAATATCTATGCTACGGACGAGTCGTGTTCATTGTGTTGCGTTAACCGCAATGAAAAGTATTGTCTTCTCTTACTGAAAGTAGCGGGAGTGCAATAGTTTTAAGCAAGCGGAAAAGTATATCGCGGATTGATCTGCCTTTTTACTTAAATTCTTATTCCTGTAGACATTTTGCTGGCGCATTTATTAAAGGAGAGTATAGAATATTTCTTCATTATAGGATTATTTATTATAGAATATTTATTTATTATAGAAGACGGAGACGTGCAAATATACCTACGCACAGTTATAAATACCGGGAAAAATAACCAAGCAGACTCGAGACGCGCAAACACACCAACTACATTAACTAATTAATTTTCGAGGTAAAGTCTGGCAAGAGGTTAATGCAAATACTCTGAACAAAGGACGGAGTTCTATTGTGTCTTATTGCGAGTAGACACCTAAGTAAAGTACAACTATACGGAACAGCGTCTCAGCTACAAACAGACAAACGAGCAGCTAGATAGACGGTCTGATAGAATATCGATAGCCGCATCTCTTGAAAAAGGAGGAAGGGAATACATTGCGACAAGCCTGCCGCTGTAGCAGGAGTGCGTTCGTCCTGCGAATGTGTACACACACATATAGACGGAAAGGGGAACGACGCTGCTGGGGCGTCGCGGGGGCGTCGCGGGGGCGTCAGGGGGTACGACGAGCGAGGGGCCGACTCGGGGTTGTTCGGAATCTATCGGTGGACCAGATTTTACTCGCACGTATACGCACATTCACCCCCACGTCGCGGCGCCGTCGGGGGTGCGTGCGACGCCGTGTGTGTGCGCGTGGCCGTCTTTTGCACGTACGTACAGCCGACGCGGGGACACATCCAACGCCGACGCCGGGGACGCAGGCGCACGCCCGCGCGGTCACAATCGCGCACCCGCGACGCGCGGCACCGCGCGCGTCGCCGGCGTCGTCGTCGTTCCGCGAGGAAATTGATTCTGCGCGGAAACGACGCGACCGGGGGGGTTTCCAGCGGAGCGGCGGAACCAGCCGTGCACCACCAGAGAGAAGCCGGGCTCGGCGAGCCGCGCATACGCTGCCGGAAGAGTACCCACGCCATTCGTCATCGTGCAGTGGATCCGCGCTCGCAGAACGCCCCCCCGATCGACGATCCAGATCGCAGCGTGTTATGTAAGGGCAATGTTACCGCCGTCGTCGCTGTCCGCCTACGCCATGTAACACGCGTGTCTCGTACGTACACACTGGCTGCTGCTACCTGCCGCTGCTGCTGAAGAGCCGCACAGAGGAGAAGAAGGAGAGAGAGAGAGAGAGGCGACCGTGGCGGAGAGGTGCCTCTCCGACGACATGCGAAGAGACGCGTCCGACGCGACGACGATAGACGACGAGCGAGGATCGCGACGATCGCAGACGGCTCCAGTGAGACACGTAGACGACGACCGACAGGAGCATCCATGGAACTGAAAATTCTGCTGTGGGCTCACATCGTGGGTAAGTTTCGCCGTCGATGCGACATGCGACGCCTTCCCTTCCGCACACACCACCCCCTGCGCCTCGTTTTGCATGCACACTCGTACACACGGACGTCGGCGCGCGTAATCGCACACGCAGAATGCGCTCCTTCTGGTCACGGCGTTCCGGTAAATGGTGCTCGTTACCGACGACGGCATGCATGCACTCCGAGACACTCTCGCCCCGGACGCTTCCGTGTCTCGAGAATCGCGTGTCTTCCCGCTATGCAACCCCGCTGGCTGCCTGCTTTGCACGTTCGTTGCCCCGATAGACGGTATCCGGTATAGATCCATCCTTGCAACCGTTCCTGTCGGCCGTGTGCCGAAAACGGTTGCTGCACTCCCTCGATGGTTATCGAGTAGCGTGGATAGGCCGCGCGTAGAGAGCCGTTCCGTTGCCTATCGAGAGCGAGAGATGGACCATTTCCGCGTGATCGACGACGCTGCGAGCGTAAGCACTGCGAAACACGCAGCGAAAATCAGCCGAGCTAATTCCGAAATACGGATATTTTATTCGAAAACGAATGATTGTTTCAACGCACTTGGATAAATCTGTGAATTGATTGTATAAATTTTTACATTCGAATACCCGAATTTGCGGTCAAGCCACGAGATTAAACTTAATTCATTTAATGTAGTGAATTAAATTGAATCGCCGAGATTAAATTATTCCATTATCGCATTCAAATGTTAAATACAGTGAAAGAAATGTAATTCAAGTTAAGAATGACTATGCATTTCCATTATTAATTTCGCTCCCTTGCAAAATGCATATACGAGTGTTCCAAATCGGACACTTTTTCGCGATATCAGGAACTTCATCCATTACAGATATTAGCATAAAGTAACACGCGTGCACGCGACGATCGTGAGAGCGTTTGTCGAGATTTCGTAAGCTCGGGAAATGGATTTCGTCCCGACACATGATACGCGAAGGGCGTTGTTTCGCGGCGAACAAAAGCGCAAAAACTATTAGCGGAGACACGCGTCTCGGGATGAGAAAAGGATTCTCTCTTCGCCGCGAGCGTTGAACCAGCGGGGGAGACAGCGCGGCGAACTCGAAGGAATGTCGTACGTTCACGGCTGGGTCGTTGGCCGTTTGGCCATAAAACGCGCGGGCGTTCCGCGTAATAGGGCATTAACAAATTTAACGAATTCCCATCTCGGTGATATAATAGCGTTAATGACATTCCAGCGAATGCGATTTTACGACACGCGGCCAAGTGCTCTTCATCCGAATGAATTCGCGGCTCCGCGCTCGATGGTCAAGTCTCGCCGCTCACTCTCGCTGATGTCTTTCTTCCTTAACGTTATGGTCATCGGGGCATTAACGAATATTCGATTATCCCGCAACTTTGCGGCGCAATACGATCTTTGTATCGAGCGATGGCTCTTTCATCTGCAAATGAAGATTCATGTACGCCGTCGCATCAATCTTGCTTCTGCCGAGATAAATATATTTTGAAACAGCTCTTAGAGAGAGAGATAAATTTTCTCAGTAAAAATTTATTTCTAATCAAATATGCAACGCATATGGAAATTGCCAATAAGTTAATAAGTCAAAAAGAAACCGAGAAGTCCGTCAGGCTGATAAGAAACTCACTTCGTACGCAATAACGGATCACGGATTGAAATCAGCGAATCCGAGATTTTTATGTTGAAAATGCGCGCAAAATAATTTCAACCTCCATCCGTCGCAATAAAAATGAATGGCGCAGGATACATTCCTCCGCTTTTACAGCGTCAGAAATTAAACTCGCATTAAATTGCAGCAGTTTTAATTCTTGCAACAAGTAATAGCAATTGATAAATGAAGTGTAAAATACACTGCACTCGGTTTGCGGCATGAAAACCCGCACGTCCAACATTAACAAACATCTCGCTCGCAAGCGAATATCATATATTTCGAATCGGGAGAATTCGAAATCTGATAAGAGAAGTATCGCGTTAGCATTGGCGCGATACTTTTTATCCGCGCGAAATCACGTGCAGGAATTTATTGCATGAAAAGCGAGTAACGCATTTTTTTCTATTTTCCTGAAGAAGTGACGGAACTTTGCCGCTATCTACGCGAGCTATTTATAACGCAGATAACGAAACGGCGCCGGAGCAATTGTTTCGTTATTACGGTATCTCGGTGTATCGGTTGCGCCGAAAATAGCAAAAATCAGATAGCATTTCTATTCGCGCGATTTCGGAGGGAAGTCTCACGAGGCGTTGGTAATTTCGTCTGATCGCGGAAACCGACACAGAGCAGATAAGCTTCCTATCGGCTGCGAAACGTCGAAGTGCACGCAGGGGCTTTTCTCTCTCGGCGCGAGCGCGCCGCTTCGCTCGCCAGCTAATTAAGCCGATCGCTCTACCGAATGTCATATCCGTTCTGCGGATCCGTACGCGCGATTGTCCGATCGGGCGAAATCACATTCATTGCACGAGAGCTGTCCGTTAAACCGAGCGTATCGTCATTAGTGTAAGCGAATTAAACCGAGCCTCGGCCTCTCACATCGGCATCGAATATTCCGAATCGAGTAGCTTGTCCTTCTCTCGGACAGACCGATATTACCCGCACTTTGCCGCACGGCAAATGGAAATGATTACGACGCACTGTTTGCATATGTACTTTTCTTTTTTTTTTTCTCTGTTTTGTTTTCGAGCGAATATAACGCCACGTCCTTTTAACGATTGCCCTCTCATATTAGAGAGACTCGAGTGAGCTCGACTCGTTAATGTCGCTCTGTTCGTCGTCGACCGAGAGTGCTGACTGCGTTGCGTCGTCGCGCGTGCTTATCTGTTTCCTTTGCACGACAGCACGTTCGTCACTTTCAGCCGGCATAACGACAGTTCCTGCGTCTCGAGTATAAGAGGTGTCACTTCAACTACCCCCTTCATTTTTGTCGCAAATCCGCTTTTTATTAACGACTAACGACCGACCGCGAGAGAGTGCCCTCGTGGTTTTGTAACTAAATACCCGTAAGCCCCGCAAAGTGCCTCTAAACGGAGAAACGGGGAAGAGAGGGACATTACGCCGGGATCGTCACACCCTTTAATGCGCTGGGGCAATATTTCCCTATAACTCCCACCGAAACTTTCATCCAATCCGCGGAACTGCGAGTCGGATTATATCGATTTCGAGAAAAGTAACGCTAAGAACTTCCCTTCAGCGCGGCAAGTTCGATGAAAATGTCGCGTTGAAATTGTTACTTGTTACGTGTACCGCATGAATCATTTACATGGAAACTTTTTAATATCAGAGACTTGTTTTGCATAAATAGAATCTCTAATTTAAGTTTCGCGGTGTTGTCCAGTTAAATAGAGTGACAAACCAGACTGTATTATGTAATTCCAAGTTTTAGATTATACGCTTTCTCTTCAGATTATTCTCCTTTCAACGTACATTTGTCAAAGATGCGCGCTGAAAAAATCTGAATATTAGCTGGCAGACCGGTGATAGAAATTTTATCTTCATTGACAGAAATATACGAAAAACGATTAGATTTATCAGGTAATTCTTTATGCAAAGGATTCGACATAAATAGTCGGGGAAAAAAGGAAAGTATTCCACAGGAATGTACGATCGCTGCATATATCCGCGTGCAGAAATTCATGAAGCGCGCGCCGCGCCGACGAAATTCGTTCGGAAACGCGTAAGTTCTGTTTCTCGCGTGAGATCGATTCCATTTCTCGTGAATGAGAAAATTTGGTCGGCACCCGCGAGGAGAGGCGAGGATGGGCGGGGGGGAGGGGGGGGAGGGAACGTGGGAAGGATTCTATTCGCGATCGATAGAGGATTCCGGCGGCCGGTGTGGGATTCGCCGAATAATTTCGAATCCGCGGATGAGAGGCGAGAACGTGATGCGCTCGTTATTATAAGAAACTATTTCTCGTGGGGTCGTATTATATTCGCGGTTGCTTTCATTACCAGGACTTCCGCGTAATGACGATGTCGCTCTGATAACCAGTCGTCGCCGCGGAGCTGCCAGCCTCGGCGAAGCCCAGTGGTTCCCAAGCTCGCGGCTCGGTATCGTTTAACATAATTAAAAGATGAGGCTTTCTTACGCGCGCAGAAACGCTTAAGAAAATGTAATCTCTAATTATCGTAATGTACATTCTTTTATCAGTCTCTTCCGTTTCATCCAGTCGACGCGAGTATATTCTTATAAATATTGCGAATACGGCTGCAGCGTGGATACTATTATTTTTCTATATCATCACGCGTGCTATTAATCAAATAGAGACGGCGGCCAAGTCGCGACACGGAAGAATGGCCCATATGGAATCCCAGATCAAAGTGGAGCATCGGTTGAACTTTCCAATCGATAACTATAGAATATTATGCGATGTGGCCTCTTTATCCGGGCTGTCCTGCCAGATGATAAAACTTTCACCGCTCTTTCCCGATTTGGGAAGCACTGTTCCCCAGCGTAATCGATGAGGCGTGTATCGCGGGCGATATTCAACCGTCTCTCATGACATGACACGGCAGAAACTCACCTTCGGCTTTCATTTCCTCTTTTCTCCCGGGGGCATGAGTCGGGATTTGGATTTCCCCTGCACGTGCTCTAATAACTCCGCCAAGATCATCCGCTTCGATAAGCGTGCAATGCCGAGCGCGCCGTTCGGGCCCCCCGTTTTTCGCGACAATGCAACACGACCATCCCCGCGAGACGTCGCGGCGGGGCCGATAAAATACAATTAACGAATGTACTCTTCTCTCGTCCGCAGGAATTTGCACGGGTCTGCGGGAGGTGCGCATCCAGATACCGACGGCCGTGAAGAAGGGCGACTCGGCGACGCTGAATTGCTGGTACGACACCGAGGGCGACCAACTGTACGCCGTCAAGTGGTACAAAGGGGGTCGAGAGTTTTATCGCTATGCTCCGAACGAGAATCCGGCCGTCAAGACTTTCCCCATCGGAAACCTGACGGTGAAGGTGAGCCCATCCCTTTCCCCGCATTCCCCACATCGCCGCTGATGGACGAGCTTACAACCTCCGGTGTCCCGCGGGCCTCCGCGAAATCTCGAGATTCTTTCGTGCCCTGGCGGGACCGCGCGCGGGGGAGAAAAAAAACGGTGTCGAGAGAGAGAGAGAGAGAGAGAGAGAGAAAGCGCGAGGATTTATTGCGGTCGAGAAGTTGCGAATGGAACACGATAACACCGAACGCGCCGGAACGTACAGTTCCTGCTCGCTGTATAGCGGGGCCGTTCTACATATCGGCTGATCGAAGTTTTTGAATTCGAGCTGTCTCCGTACGAGAGGGGTAACTGATGGCCCTCGTCGGTGTGTGTTGCTCGTCCTGTTGCAACGCTTTTTTTTCCCCCTTTTCCCTCCATTGAATCCTATTTTTATTTTCAGTTTTTCAACCGTGCAACGCGGTTATTCCATTTTTTTATTGTACTCTATATTTAATTTATATAATCATTAATTCTGCAGTGTTTTAAAATGGTACTTTCGTGTTTATTCGGGCCGGTGCTCCTCTTTTGTTTGTATAACACGTGACACTAAACTGTGGACATTTTTAATGTTTTGAAGAGGTATCCTAAATAAAATATTCTATTCCATTTTTGTTTTATATTCTCCGAAACGCGGAGTATCGTTTCATACACCGCTTGCGCGCGCGCGCGCGCGCGTGTGTGTGTGTGTGTGTGTGTGTGCATAGCCAGCTGCTGGAAATATTAAATGTTATTTTATGCGCGTTCTATTCGCGAAACGCTGCCCGACAATTTAATATTTCGCGTTTCGGACGCGACAGTCCTAATGGTGCTTGTTTAACGAAGGTTTACAGTGAGACACAATTCTCCCACGGTCAGCGCAATCGTTTTCTGTTACCTCACTCTTACACGCACTTCTTATCACCGACGCTTGTTTATCTTGCACGATACGCTATCCTCGTGACGCGGGCATCGCGTAGCGGGTGTTTTCCGCTCGAAGCGCGATTCGAAAAAATTCAGAGCCACCTCGCTCCGATATTCATCACTTTTAACATCGACGATAACGATTCGCGTAATTGGTAACCGATGTAAAATAAAAAAAAAAGAAACGCGAGTGCATTGCAAATATTTAACGCGATTGATGGAAACGGAGATGGAGAGGAAAGGGAGACATGCGAAACAGGGGGATCCCGTTTGGGAATAAACGATGGTTGATATCGAATAACCAGGTCGGCCGCATGTCGCACGATTGGCGGAAGCATTGGTCATTAATGGATTGGACGAATTCCTCTCGCAAGCGCGCGCGTTACACACATTCAAACATGCATAGGTCCGTCCATACGTACCGCGCGTTACATCCGAGAATTCCCTTCGTGTCCTCGATAACCGTCACGACGGCGAAGATGATGCGCCGCGCAGAGACGTAGGATCGTAATGAATTACCGTTGTTTCGCAGAAAACCGAGAGCAACGCGACGCAGGTAGTGCTGACGAAGTTGGAATTGGAGGCGGCGGGCCAGTACAGCTGCGAGGTATCAGCCGACGCGCCTTCCTTCCACACGGCTATAGTTTACGCGGCGATGAACGTCGTCGGTAAGTGTCACTTGTCCTCGAAGCTGCCGCTCCGCACATTAATAACTTCGGACGCCGGCATCGACTGCGTAAAAACACGCTGGAGCGTTATTACTCGCCTGGCAATTTAACGCGCGCGCCCGCTTTACGACGTCGGCGCGCCTATTCACCGTGTAATAAGCTGTGATAAGAGAAATAATAATGGGCGGACTATTTAAATCGCGTTCTTGACGTCGATAAAATTTTTATAATTCACGATAACTCGCGATATAATCGAAGGGCTTTGCGGAAAAGAGCAGCATCTTGTAGAGTGATATTTTTCGAAATTTACGTGAATTGAATTAAGTACAGTTGAACAACCGTATTGCTTCTTCTGACTTTTCATTTTTTCCCTCGTTTTCTCTCTCGCGCTATTTTCTCACATAGAATTGCATAGGATCTTTTGTTTTTCACTCGTTTTCTCATGTGATCACGTAGTATGTAGTCAAACAAATGTAAAATAATCAGAGAGCAGTGCAAGAAGGAGAGCGGAAAAAAGAAAGGAAAATTAGAAGGGAAAAAAAGTTTGACTGTAATTGTAATTATGTACGAGTGTATTATCATAATTGTGTACATATTTGCATAATAAACAAATAATTGTGCTCAACTAGAGTGTGCCAGTTTGCTCGCTGTTTCATCTTAGACTGTTTTGTATCGGCTTTGTTGAAGAATTAATAAACACCGAAAATATGCACTTTATTACGCGTATTAGTGTCATATAAGCGCAATAATAATTATATTTTACCAAATTTAATTTTCCCAAGCTGAATTTTCAATATGCTATTTCTAACATACACCGTGCCATATCTATGGCATTAGAATTTATATACTCTCTGGGATTATTTATATCCGACCAGATCTCCGCTTGACCGCTAAAACAGTCATTCGTCTCGCTCGCTCGAATTGTGTATGTCGAATTATGTAGCGTCAAATGGACTGTCGAATATGTAAGGTAATAATAATCGGCTTATTATAGCAATTATATACGTTCGCGAATGCATTGCGGCATAAAATACATTTTATAATGTTTCCGTTTCATGTATTGTGGCGTGGCGAATTCGCATTGTGAATCCATGATTTTCGCGAAAATAAAATACGCGAGTTGATTTTCGTTTGGCCGAAAACGTGATTAACAATAAGTGCGGATTTTCAGGTAATTATAAAAGCACACAATTACGGTTGCAGTCAAATTTCAGTATTTTTTTCCTCTCTACTTTATATTTACTTCCTCTTTTTCGTTCTCTGACTATTTCTGGCCATTTATCCGGATGCGTGAGAGATCGAGTGGAAAATGAAAAATATCATGCAGCATTATTGATCCATTGTCAGAGAGATCGTATTCTTTATTTGACGTTATCTATCAATAATGTATTGCACGATATTTTTTGCTTTTCACTCGCTTCCCCATTTTAATATTGTCACATGATTAGATGAATGTGAAGTGGAAAGACAATGTAGGAGGAAAAGTGAGAAAAAAAGTGCAACATCGGAAGAAACATGGATGTTCGATTGTAATATATTTGAACAACGTAAATTGCCTGTCGCAATTTTCGAGATTCTTTCATTAAAACATGGCGTTCAATAAATTTTGTGCCAGCAACGTTTTTCCCGGGGTCTTTTCTATTAATATACTGTAATCTATTCTGATATTACATACGAGCTTTTCCCAGGGAGAATTAAATATCTTTTTTAATTGCTCACGTCTCGCGCACGTCATAACCAGTCTTGCTCGCGAACGAAGAACAAGAAATATATCCGCGAGCGCGCGCGCGCACGCAGTTTCGGATGCGACACAAATCTTCCGAGAGGACGGACTATTCAATTCTCGCATCTCTCGCGCTCGCGTCAGAACAACGACATTTTTATTCGCCGCGTTCCGCCGTCGTCGTAAAGGCGCGACGAAGCGTACGAATTTACGTCCTCCGTAAAAAGTGGAAAAAGTAATATTTCGCGAGCCCGGGAGCTGCTGGTGACGTATACAGGTGCTTTTAACGACGTGCGTATTATACGTACGACGCGTGCCGATAGCGAAATGACTGGGCACGCGAATGCGAGTCGCGCCGTCGTAAGAAAAGTTTTTTTTTTTTTTCGCAAGAGCGATAAGGATGCAAGAGGGGGATATTCGCCCTTTCGTATCGATCAACTGTCGTCGTCGCCCAAAGTTTTGGCCATGTCAGGCTTTGGAGAATGACGACGGGTCAAGCCCGGTCGAAGCGACGTCGAGCTGCATGCGAGCTCACGCGACGTTCGGGTGCGTGTTTACACGGTATCTCAGAGCCGTCTTTCATATATGCATTCCTTGATGAAGTCTACTCGCTTATCAAAGCACGTCGTCGGGATGTTAAGTTACGAGCGATTGCACAAATAAAGACTTCTCTTGTCATCAACTTAATTGTGAAAGCTACACGTTTCGCGAGAGAGCGAAAGAATTCTTACAATATATTTTACATTCAAAATATCGCAAGAAAAAAAGAGCAAATTATGCTTCACCAAACTTCTCGAGGCAGCTGTATGCGTAATGAGACCGAGATGGTTAAATTGGAATCTCCTGTGTATCAAGTATATCACAAGTATATCTTACGTTCGCAGAATTGCCCTCTCAGATGCCATCGATACAGGGACTAAAGAGGAAATACCGTGTCGACGATCCACTGCGTTTGAACTGCACATCTGGTCGGAGCAAGCCCGCCGCGAATCTCACTTGGTATATCAACGACCGACAGGTATGCTCTAACTGCTAATGATGGTAATGCGCGCGCGGTTAGACGAGTGGACGGACGGAAAGGGGGGGATCAGATACCTCTATTTAGTTTACCTCGGCTTTGATCCATTATCCCTGATCAAACGTCGGAGACAAGAGAGCTTATGGGATACGTTTCTCCTCGAGATGTTCTCCGAAGCTGGAATGAACGGTATTCGTGGCGCAGAAAATAACTCAATATTTTCCTCGATTAACGTTTAATGCTTTATTTTCATAAATGCCCGTTAATTAAAATCTGATTGAAATAATGAGTTAAAATTAGCGGGGATTTTCAAATGTTCGAGTGTTCGTATTTGAAAATATTCCAAATTAAAACTCTAAAAGCGTTCTTTGATATTTTCAATGCGGCTAGAATATTTTGCAATTTTCAAGATAACTTCCGTAATCATCTTATATTAACGCATTCGTACGTAAACCAATGGCACGCTAGGCACGAGTACACGAGTCGCGGAAAAACAAAATCGCCGTACCGTGCCGAGAATTTATAATACCAATAACGTTAACAACAAAGCGACGCAAATATAGTTTTTCATCCTTATGTTATAATAGCAATATTTACTTTAACAGTCCATTGCATCGTCAACCTTTTACTGTCATTAAATCAATTAATAAAATTTCATTACTTTCAGCTTTCAAAATAATTGTTTTGAATCATATACTTTTATGGAAGCACATGCGCGCGTTATCCTCTTAATATACGTGTAATTAAAACTTGATTGATAAATCTTTCATCATTATTTTATATGCTGCACACATTTGTAACTTTGTACAAACAATAATTTCACATGTTCAAAGAAATATCGCACAGGTAATCCCGTTGATTAACTAACGATTTTCGTCTTCTCTTTTTTTTGTTGTTCAGCCTCTCAAGTCTTACGTCCGCACGTACAGCCCGCTCGACACAAACGAGTCGGAGTGGCAAATCTCGCAGATCGGACTCCAATTCCTGGTCACGCACGATCACTTCACGAACGGCAAATTGAAAATACGTTGCAGCGCGTCGATATATGACATTTACTGGCAGAGCTCGGAGGTCAGCGCCGAGGAGGATCTGCCGCGAGTGATACACTACGAGCCAGCCGCGACCATCGTCGGCATCAACTATCTACAGCCGCCGCCGAATTTTCAAACCGGCCAGAAGAAGCCCGATGGGCAGGTCGGTGTGAAAGGTAAAGCCTCCTTTTTTTCATATTAATGTTACAATAGCGCGACGTAGTTTCCTCATAAAAGAAAAAAAGCTGGATAAATATATATCGTCGGTTCTCGATTACTTATCGAAATTCTAAACTGTTCAGAAATGCAAACGCGAATCGTTGTGTTACTTCATTTGCTTATAAATCGTTTTATTTCGCCCATCGTGAATAACATCCGGCTGCCCGATGAACTCTTTGAACGAGCACGTTTGCATGAAAACGACGACGCGCGGTTCGGGCATTCAAAAAGCGACGTCGTTGAGCCGCGATTTGAATTGCTGCGCGCGTGCGACTTAAAATCGAGAAAGAAAATCGAAAGCAAGGAAAGGGAGAAATCGCAATTATCAGATCGTCTCGTTCGATGATTTTTCAGTGCTGGGATCTTCCACGGTGAGCTTGCGGCCGTCGGCGAGGCTCGTATTGGAATTGTTTGCGCTTCTTCTAATCGCCATTCGTTAAAAGCATAATAGTGCATCGTTCGAGAAACGCGCTTTGGAACACTTTGCGTATGTCGACGTGCTTGTGTGTGGAGGCGGAGGAGAGCTCGAGAGGCGCGCTTTGTGCGATGATGACGTTTCCTCTACGGGATCGCCTCGGATCGCCGCGACAGCAGCAATACACAACCGGAGCGAATACAGGGACCTCCTTCAAGGGCCACGTCAAGGCGGTGAAACCTGAAAGGCTGGTTCAGAATGGCGGAGGGATGGAAGTGACGGGGCGCGACTGAGAGTCTGCTTCGGGGAACGGAAGGGGTCAAAGGAAAGAAGAAAAGGAAATAGAGAAAAATGGAGAACGAGGGCAAGCTCCCGCGAGATGATTTATTCGACGTTCACTCTCATCCGACGATCAACGAATGTCCAAGAAGCTCTCTAGCGACGAAAGACACGCGGCTGGATACTCGCGATATATATTCGGGAGATATTTTATTATTATTAGACCATGTACTTGCTTCCTTCCAGCGGGATAATGTGTTTGCAATGTGTAGGTATATATATATATATATACATATATATATATACATATAGTATGTTTCGTCGCATCGTATGGGGAAGATAGTTTTTTTTTCGTACTTTTATAAACTCAGAAGGAGACTATACGTAGCATGAATGTACGTGCGTATTCTTCGACATCATACACATTTACATATGAATATACATACATGTGTGTACACGACAAAACCGCGCAAAATCGCTCGAAACACACACTCGTACATACAAGACACGCATACAGACAGCTACACTTTCTCTCTGTACGAATAATTGATAAGTAAAAGTGTTCGAGAATATTGCGGCCCGCCTAAGTATTTTACAGTGTGCGAGATGATGTACCTGAATCGGATATTCGCGTGGACTTTTGTTGTGTTGCTATTTAGGGACTATGTATTAAATAAGCGAGGAAAAAGATGTGCTATGTCGAGTTATATGATAACAACAATTTTGTGTACCTCGATCATTCCATTTCGTATTAAAGCATCAACTAATTTATCAATGAGGTTGATTTAATTGATGTATAGTACGACTTGTAAAGTTTATTATAAATTCATTTAACTAAATTGCCACTGTATTTCTCTGAATATATCCGCTATTTCTCATATCTGCACCGCAGAGTTGAAAACCTATTCTAATATTTTCTCTTCACGTATGCAAATAGACTCTACTTTCCATGTGTACATTCCATTCATCAAATATCGGCTGATGACATCATAAATTATATCGCCCCCCAGTTTGCGCTTATCGATATTCGATATCAGTTTTTATCCCAAATGCATTGCCGGTGAAATATTTCGATATTCTTGTAAGTCGCGTTCAAACTGTGCTGTACAACACGTAAAAATAGGATGTCATGGGGAATTGTGTCATGATTTCTTTGTCTTTCTTTTGTAATAACAATGTCTAGATGAATATGGTCGTTTGATATATTTCTCGGTGCTGAATATATATATATATATATATACATCTATATATATATATCTTGATATGGATATAAATATAATTGTTACAATAATAAGCACGATACCAGCAACAAAACAATTATTCTGATGTTATTAAGTGACAGAATGTTACCCGTTATTTTATTTTCGCGCTGTGTCGACGGTGTAATTCTGTTTTTTACGCTACCCAATATGTCTCTATTCATTTTAAACGATCCGAATCGGCGTTAAAACAATGCCGCTGCATAAATAATTCACGAATGCAAAGAACTACCGACCCGGCCCTGTCGGTGAAAACGCATGATTCCGCGAACATTAAATAAAATATCGTCCAACAAAAGCGCGTTAATTCGACCGGCGAATCGAGGAATGCCGCTTTGCGGATTATTATATTTATTTATGCATGACCAGCGTGTGTGTATGCCGTTAATGTGATAACTCAATTATTGCATCCGTAATGTTTACCTTATGCCGCTCTGCGAAACGTATAACTGCACAATCGTCGATACACTTTGAGCGCCGCGCGCGTTTATAATTGAGTGCCAGACATTAACATTCATACTTGACTTCACTAATCCTCTTAATTAGATCTTTTTCATCTTCTCCTTCTTTAATTTCTCAAAATACGATTCACGATTTGAGTCAATAGGTTTTTAATTGTAATGTATTTAATTTTATTTTTCACTGTACGTCATTGAGTTTCGTGATCTAGAATATATAAAAAATAACGCTCTTTTGCATTACAATTTTGCGAAACAATATTAATTATTTAAAAGTATATATTTTTATAAAATTATGCAAACCTAGAGATGCATACAGCGAGATAGACTTCATGAAAGAGAGAGAAGAGAGCCCTCGGAATTTTTCTCTTTTATATCGTAAGTATCTCGTTGAGTAGGTGAAGTGCTCGGCAAAATGCAACAGTAACAATCCGTAAATGTAATTGTTTATTGAACAAAGTGTTCCTCTTGTGAACATGGAAATTGTAGTTTTCAAAGAGTTTGCGAAAGTAGAATACTCTCGGTAACGAAGAGACTGAATTCCTGCGTTCGTCTGACGTTTACTAAAGTTTCAAAATTTTTTCCAATTTCACATTTTTACACCACTTCTCGATATAAATAAATTCGAAAGAGCAGCGCATAAAAAGTGCTAAATGTTCAAATTACGTTCTCGATAATTAATCTAAACAATATAAAATAATTGCTACATCTCAGCGAGATAAAGAAATACGCGTTGCTTAGCGTTAACGCAATTTCAATTGCAATTCTGCTTATTCGCGAAGGTTATTCCTGCCGTTTATTCACCGTTATATATTTGCGAAACAACGAAAAAAAAAAGAAGGAAAAATTCTCAATTATCATATCAATGTGGAAAATTCTTTTCTGCGTACGTCGCATACCTATGTTGGAAATTATGCTCCGGAATATCATCTCGATCTCAACGCTCGGATATGGTCCACGAGGCCGTGGGCGGCTGGCAATCGATGGCGTAAGGACGCGCGAGTGTGAGTACACGTCGGATACTCTCACGGATATACGGGTGAACGGGGGAACTGGTGCACGAGTGCTCGCACACGAATGAGAATTCCGTTGCTTGGCGACGGGGAAAATCGGAGCGGCGTCATATCGGGGATTCGAGGGAGGATAAGGGTGGTCGTACAGTTCGGCCGACTCTTGCTTCGTGGCGAGCGGAAAAATTCGCGCTGCCAATCTCATTCGAATCGGGCAGCGAGTGCGATCGCGAAATTTCCAACAATCCGAATCTCGATGATTGCTACTTCCCACGACATCCCCCACGGTGTGCTCCCGTGCGCGAGTTTAACCCTTACGTAAGCGTTGTCGCGAAATTTCCAGAATGATCCGACGAAAACTGGTGACTGGCTCGAGCTCTATAAGTACACAATTGGCACAGATTCGACGGGAGTTATAAATTTCCACGCCTGCTCGCCTTTTCCGGACGGCTGGTCCCGGTGATATTTAGCAGTGATCACTGCGATTGAATAATGCGCAATAATTCGCGCTTTCGTTATCCTCTCCAACTCTCGTAAATTACCGCGCGCTCTCGCTTCAGAGATGTAAAGCGATGCGCGCCGAGACAAACTTCAACAATTGACAATCTTAATGCAAACGCGTTAATGCGGGTAATGTATTCCGCATCCGACCTTTCAAGGGAAATCGTACTCCGCAGGCGTTGCTTTTACGAAGCACGTCGGGAACACACAGTTGTGTGCGTGTTTGTGTAGCATCCTATAAACACGTACCAGGCGGATCCAATAACCGGGAGTCGCGGAATAATTCTTCTCATATTTCCACTTTGACTTTTGACTCGAACTGATATTAATGCATAGAATTCGCGGTAAATGGAATGCGTCTTTGCACCTCGCGTGTGAATTGCGATAAATTGAAAGCACCGCACAACAGATGCTGATGAGTACGTCGATCGTTGAGCACGAAGCGGACGTCGCGAGATCTCTTGGCATCGAGTCAGCGGAAACGCGGAATATTTGCAGCTTGTCTACGTAGAAATTCTAGCGGGCCTTCGTTGGACCTCTGCCCGCGATTCCGCCATGGAGTCGCTCTTGGAGGAAAGTAAGTCGGAGATGCATGCCCGTGTACGCACCTGTCGACTTTTCTCCTTGAAGCTCTCGGCAAATTTACGGGACCAACATCGCGCCAAGCAATTTGACACTGTTGATGAATCCTCGTGGAATGCTCGTCAATTTCTACGCATGACAACACGCTTTCTATATGTTATTTGAGCTTTACATCCAACAGCTCTCAGTATCTCCTTTTTATACTTTTATACTTTTACTAAAAAAAAAGGTTAAAACTTGTTATAACTTGCTGCTGAATTTTACTCTTCTTTAATATTTTTTTTTGACGATAGAATTTTCCGTCATTTGTCAAATTATATTTTCTGTATTTTCGCAGATATACAATTGTGACGAAAATGAAATGTTATATTTAAAAAAGACATTCAATATCAAATTATTGTATAATGCGATGTGAAACGCAATTTAGGCGATCAAACTAGTCGACAGAATTTATATACTCTTTGCATGTTTATCGTTATATTTATGTGTTTCGCTTTCTGCTTTCTGTTCTTACATGCACCGAAAAAAAACTGAGCAAACTGATGGTCAGCACAGCGAACGCAAGAATGGCGTGTGTCCGATAAACTGCGGTCGACAACTGTCCTCGAGTTTTTCATCGGATTCACCTGGCGCAGGTAATACCGGCGCCTTCAAACAGCACACAGAGATACAAAAATATCGCGCGCGAGATATTTCTGTCGCTTGATAAAGGATGGCACCACCAATTCAAACGAGCGTAGATCGAATTTGCATGCGGAGATAATCGCATCGCAATTTGCGCGTGACAACGACGCGACGCTTCCGTCGTGTCCGCCGGTCGATACGGCATTTGATTAATTGCGATAATGCCCCTCCTCTCTCTTGTCCGCAAACGGGAAAAATAGCGCTAGAAAAATAATCGTCGCTGGATTCGTGGTCGCTCAGAAAGCCGGCCACCGAGCTGACGCGCGTGAAAGCTCGTGAATATTCATTCCGATCATCTTCGGTCGCGGCGGCGCAAAAGCGACGAATTACCATCGGGCTTGCGAGCTTGTAAACATCACCCGTATGAATAAGTTACGCTCAATTATTGTGTACACGAAATATATGTCGAGCTAATAAAGAACACTGCATTTGAAGCTGCATTTTACATGACTATGTAAAGCTCACATAAAATATGCGGCGCTTATCACGGCGCGGTACGCGCAATCGTTCCTTGCTCCAGCTACGTCCTGATGCGACGCGGGAAAAATATATAACGCGTCATTTTTAACTTGATGCCGGATTTCGTCTGACGAGAGGTAAACAAGAAAAAGCTCAAAGACTTATTTAATTTTTTGTACCGCGCCACTTCTGCGCGAACAGTATGGACTTGCAGCGGAATTATCTGCCACACACACGTCGTCCGGAAAGTCAATAATTTTCCCGACATCGATGGTAAGGTAAGGTAACGAGCTTGGTCATGCAATCGCGGAATCTGCGATCACCATATTGCATCGCGAACGGCGCTATGAAACGCACAATGTTACATTGCCGTCGCGACGGCGCAAATCGACGAATGTAAGTTCCGCTGATGTATTCTCTCCGCGCGGAAGAGAGAGAATACTGGAAAATAACAATCCGAGAAGTTCGCGTAACGATGAAATTACAAGCGGGATACGCAAGTTACATCTGAAATAAAAGTTACAGCCGCGCGAGATTACATTAACTCCGATTCAGACCCGCAACTCGCGGCGCAGCTCGCAACATATAATTTTAGATGTAATTTGATATGTCATGTAAATGCGGGAAATACATTTGTTGAATCAGAATTAGACTCGGAGAATTCGTAACATATTTCATTTGTAACATGACAGATTTTAACAACTCTATCGTCCATAATTCAAGATTTCAACTGCTTGCGTTCGCACAGGTAAAAGTGTCAGCATCCGAAAACAAATGAGGATTTAAATTTTTATGCAAGAAGCACAGAATTTAATAATATAGAGGTATAATAATAGGCTTTAAATTAAGAAACTGACGAGAAAGTAATTTAATTTACGCTAATATCGTTACAATCTTAAAATATTTGATTCGTGTAACTTATTATTC